AACGTGGTTAGGGGATTGTTTTGGTGTTTTTCTGGGAGACAGAGCCAGAACATGGCTGTGGAGATGTTTTTCCTGCAGTGAGTCTAAGTTGACTGTCCGCCACCATGACAAGTTGTAGGGCATTTAAATTTAGTTCCCAAAAAAATCGGATTGCCAAAGCAACTCCTTTCTCACCACCATGCTCCAGGATTAACGAGACACTTGCGGGGTTGGACTAGACAAGGGGGCTTTGCTCTTGTAGGCTTCCTGATCGTTAGAGGTGCTCCTTTGGAAGCCTATAGAGTTATCCCTCTGAAATGCCCGCTTAACAGCTGCATGAAGCATGGAACAAACAAAAACTCTGACTGACAGGGCCAGGTCGAGCTGGCCAGCAAGTGTCTAACGCAAATTCGCACCCCGGAAGGGAAACCAGGAGCAAAGGAACATGAAACTATGGGAAACCAACATCATGTTGAACACCAGGGTGAACGCCCACCCAGAAACCCACAACACACCGGCCACTTGATGACATGTCTATTGTTTTCCACACTCGTTGCGGTGCTTCCCATTCGATGGAAATAGGCGGGATCCCAAGAAAAGGACCGAAAGGTGTCGCTCGCCTTGCTGATTGGAAGGCCCGGCATGCCTCGGATTCGGATCCGAAGCCAACTTTAGACCGCTGGCTTCCTTGGCCCAAGGGACCTGGAAATAGGTTCGGGGCCCTGAGAAATGGAGCAAGGAAACCCGAACGGCGAAAAAAGGTCAGGTTTGGACAACGGAGCCCGTGAAGCAACAAGGCAATTGAATGTCCCAGGCGATTCACGTGGACAAGCGCCCGTTCCATATATCACTTGGGGGGGGGAAGGTAGGGTTAAACAACAAATGTTTGCATTGGTCGGAGGCCAACTCAGCTTGGACACTGACCTGGCAAAAGCCGATCATAAAGTCATCATGAGAACATAGCATTAAAGGGGTCTACACACATCCCTGGTAGTCTTTTTGCCTGGTAGAGATTCAAGAGAGCGGCCGCTTCAAGGCCGCTTCTATTTGACAATCGAAACCTCGTATCGAAAAAGTGAGCAAAACAGCGGCGCAATTTGCGGTGAACAAGCTTGTCGTTTAATTGGGAAACTTTCACGGCGCTGATTCAAAGTGCCATGTTTGGCACCGCGATCCGCTCACTCCCTGCAAAACCTTTTTGTCGGTTGGAAAACTATACCATGCGGGTGTCTCTTTGTTGAGGGTACCCTTTTTCGGGTTGCTTCAAGGGCCTTCCTAGGGGGATCCAAAATCAACCCCCCCTTTGAGACCAACCCAGTCCCATATCCGCCGACATTGCTCGGCGTGTCGGACACCTAAGAGAGGATAGAGGATAACCCCCCTAACCCCCCCGCCCCCCACCCAACATCTCCGCCCCCCCCAAGGACCGCGCGGCAATTATGACGTTCCACTAAACGTAGTCTTCAGGGAGCCGGTGTCGCAAAACAGGGGTCCCAGGCTCGATTCCCCCTGCCAGCTCTTTGCTGATTTGAGGTTCCTGCCTCCTTTTGCCGAAAATCTGGAAGTTTTTGGACGTCCTAATTGCGAAAACGCTGGAAAAACCGTGTTTTAGCGGGAAATATTGGGGAGCAAAGGGGAAATGCAAGGAAGTGCAAGGAAATGAGGGGAGGAAATAGGCAGTCGACATGACAGGAGAGCAGCGGGCCATGAAAGGGAAACAAAGGGGAACTGAAAGGGACATGCAAGGGACAGAAATGAAAACAAGGGGAGTGCAGGGGGAATGAAAGGGAAACAGAGCACAAGGAAACCAATCGGCCCGACGGGAGATGTAGGGAAATGACTCGCAACGAAAGAACGGGACATACATGGAAAGTGAAGCGGACATACCGAGAAAATGTCAGGAACATGAAGGGGGAGTTGAAAGCGGGAGAGAGAGAGGGAGAGAGAGAGAGAGAGAGAGCGAGACACAGAGAGTGAGAATGAGAGAGAGAGAGAGAGAGAGAGAGACAGGGACAGAGCCAGAGCCAGAATCAGAGAAACAGCGAAAGAGACAGACAGAGAGAGAGACAGAGAGAGAGAGAGACAGAGAGAGGGAGATTGAGGAGAGAGGCTTGGGGGGATGGGGAGGATGGGGAGCAGAGGGAGGGAGAGAGGACGACAGGAGACAAGGGAGAGAGGAAGCAGGAGAAAAGGGAGAGGACAATGTCGGCGGACTGAGCCGGAGGCTCTAAAGTTAAACAGGTTCAAAGCCAATTAGGTCAAACCGAATAGGATGCTTTTTCGGGAGGGCCCAGGTAGCTTTTGGAGAGGGGAACTGCTGATTATGTGGGAGTTTCTCGAAAGGACCCGAATAGACATGCACATATATTGTATAAATGAAACTCAAAAGGAAACACACTAATTAGGTGCGCAGGGTACCCGAATTTTGACAAACACTGAACGTCAGTGTGGTTCCTTTTGAGGGGAAACCCGGGTTTTGGTACGGGAAAAGCCAAAAGGACAAGCCCACAACGGGACTAGCACGGGACGGGACCATTTGGAGCGGTCTCTACTTTCGGCACATGTCCAACACAATTTTAATTGTCCAAGTGTTTGGGTGGCTTGGAAAGGACTAAGGACTATAGGAAAAGCCACCCACCTTTGACACTGGCATTCCAAAGGCAGTGACCCCCTTCAGGAACTCCCAACAAAATCGGAGAAATCTCTGGAGCTGGACCGTCTGAAATAGCTGGAGACCTGAGTCTCAAAAGCAACACTAACCTCCAAACACCAGCCTGATTCTTCACTTGAAAGGACCTGAACAGCCCAACGTTCAGCTTGATTTCCCTTTCCCCTTTGAAAGCAAACCCACAACGTCGTCCAGGCCCCACGCCCCCCGGCGGGGGCGGAGGCATCCCTGGCCTGCAAAGAATCGGTCGCAGGCTTGAGTGATATTCTGCCTATGATCGTTCGCTGGATGAAGGATGTTTAGACCAACCGCTGACACAGTTCAAGCTAGCCAGCTAAGGATTGAGAAATGGCTTGTTCCCTGTAGGACTTCTATCTACTTAAGCCCCTGGAAAAAAAACTCTAGTAGTGATAGATTCCCTTTAAAACCAACAAGGGGAAAACATTCCTAAGCAAACGGAAGAGGATAGTATCATAAGCCTTGAAAACGAGCAATTCTGGCTGATCAGGAACCATAGCTCGGTTCAAGAACTAGTAATTTATGGCTACTCACTTCGGTCCTTGCGCGTTCCCTTAGCTTAAGAAAACGCAAAACGTGCTGTTCCCTGATTCTGGTATGCCTCTGGTAAATATGATTACTCTTTCCTTCTCCATTCTGTACTTGGTTACTTCCTTACTTGACTCGACGCCCGGGCTTGATCTGTGTACACGGCCGCCTCGAGTCCCTCAAGGGTTGCTTTGTTGTTTTTGTTGGCCCTGTGCTACTGAAATACAAGAACAAAACAGTATGAAATCTTGCATGGCCGGCAGTTGATTCTTGAAACGGTGTGCATGGAGTGTGACATCTGGGTGTAATCTGACTGTTCTGCATTCCATGTCACCACGAGTCCTCAGTCCTTTGAACAGATCCCATAGCAATAGAAGCCGCTTCTCTAGCCCCAACATTTGCAATGATGATAAGAACAAAATGTCTGAAGTCAGCCTTCCTGTCGTGGTTGTCAGTCACTGTACCGTGATCCATAACATTTACCAGAACATTGTATACATCGGCTTGGGAAGGAAAGGGAGGGAGAGAGGGGAGGTGGTGCACTTTCTATCTGTTCCCACTCCTACCGCTCCCTTCATCTCTTTACCTCTCATATCCACATTGTTATTTCTCCATCATTGATTACTTCATTCTGGTTCAATTTGAATTAATATGAGATTAAAAGATGAAATGTGTGTGAGATAAACGGCTGGAAGTGAATAAATGCAGTGAATGAAAGGTTAGTGCCAGCCCTCTCTTCCTTCCTAGCTCCTGCCCTGGCTGTTACCAAGAAATCCAAGTGACGCATCCAAAAGGACGCGACAAGACTGTATGGAGTTCTGTTGACTGTAAACCGCCATAGTCAAAACCAACGTATCCCGCCTGGCTTTGGACACTTAGAGGGTATAGGCCGGGAGATGGCTGCACCGGCGTTCAATTATTAATCCAAATTGTGGCACCCTGTAGTGGACAGCAAACATATGCGGTGCTTTATGTCCGCCAATCATTTTCCAGAGGTTCCCTACTATTTTAGCCATCCAAACACCCAAAAGACCAACCCCACCGAACCCCCCACAACCCCCCACCGCGCCGCATCAGAGGGCTGAGCGGTCCGTTGGGCCCTGCTCCCAAAGGGATCAGCCTGAAGCCGTGCGCAGGTGAAAGGGCCCATGTGTGAACTCCTTACGTGTAGCGTGCTCATTCAGCTTCACGCAAATTGGTGATTTGGATTGGTGTCTTGGAGGTTAGGAGTTTCCCACTTACCTTCTACAAGAACCGCTTCAAATCGATGGAATCAGATCCGATTCCCGGAAATCTGAGCTCCGCGCAGGGGGCCCATCATGGACCCCGGAAACGGCCCAGGATGAAGAAAACCGAAGGGGGACCGCCCTGGCGAGCGAGCGAATAGCAGCCACTTGGTGTGGAACAAGAAACGCTTCGGGGACGACACAACAAACGTTTCGCCTCTACCCTGCAAAGAGGGAGAGTGCAAACATCCGCAAGTGGCCCTACCTGGCCGAATCAATATGATTCTCCCGAGCTCAAATGAAGTCATTTTGAGAGCACCCATTGAACTTTGGGAATCCTGGAGGGAAACCAAAAACAAATCGGGTCCCCATTTTTGGAGACAAACCACATTGCCTGCAAATGATCATGGAGCACACAAGAACGGGGTCTTCTCCAAAGAAATCATTCCTCGAAGAGTGTTTGTTTTGTTTTTTTGAGGGGGGGGATGTCCATGTTCCTCAGAAGTGTAATCCATGCAATCCATGTCACCCTTGTGGTCGGTCCCTGTAGAGGAAAATCATCCTCGATAACCGGAAGAAATTTACTGGCCGCTGCCTCGATCCGCAAAGGGATGGCCCAAGATCCCGTAGGCGCTGTCCCTGTCGTTGGCCGGGAGCTGCTGGATCTGCAGGCTCCGCGCCGTTCGAAGCACACGGTTCCAAGGAGTGCAAAAAGACAAGTGCTAAATAGACAAAGGGTCTGGAAAAATCAACAACTCCCTCCGCTTGTTGGTTTCTTTTTGAGATTGCCCTCCTCAAATTAACATGGAAGCTGACAGGGGGGCTTCCAGGACCCCCTCCCCCCCCCCCCCCGTCAGGTTTCATGTTAATTTGTGGGAGGGTAAACAAGACTGGGTGTCCGTACAACCAGTTGAGAATATCCTCTACACAGGGTGCCAATGACTGTTCAGGCTTCATATATGATCAGCAGATCATGAGCCCTGCTTCACATTCCAATTGTCATGTGACCCTGGTTGAACAAGGAAACCCTTTGCGGGGTTGACCATTTTTAGTGGGGAAGCCAGCAAGCGAAAAGATAATTAAATGCAATTGTGAACCCTGCTCTCAATTTGCAGCCAACCTTCAAAGTCCCAATGAATGTGTCTTCTGACAACATCTGCAACAGGGGTGTAACGCTTTGCATCCCCAACTTACATCGCTTTACATGTCTGTGAAGTCGACATGCACCCCAAGTTCTGATTCGGCAACGCGTCGCCTGCAGGACGCAGACCTCCTCGTTGTTGGCCATCCAGTGCTTGTGATCCCTCTTGGCTGGAGCCTGTGCGCTATGTTGGGCAATGCACGGTTTACGTGGTTTCAAGTATGGCCGCTGCGGTGATAACAAAGTGGGCCATTGGGAGCACGTTGCCACTCTAAACAGGGTGCCCTTGGTATCACAGGGCCTAAAACCAAATCCGCACAATCCCAAAAAGGCAAAGTGTCAAGAATCTCATCAGACCCGCAACCCGAAAGTGGTCTGCCCTTGTGGCGTCTATTGGCAATGGGTGCACTGGGCGACCCGGCGAGTGTGGACAGAAAGGGAGGGAGAGAGAGAGAGAGAGAGAGGAAAGAGAGAGAGGGAGAGAGATCGAGAGACAAAGAGAGACAGAGAGAGAGGGACAGAGAGAGAAAGAGAGAGAGAGAGAGGCAAAGAGAGAGAGAGAGAGGCAAAGAGAGAAAGAGAGACTGAAAAAGAGACAGGGAGAGATGTCAAATATCATGCTGTACTACTTGTCCCTTGTACATGCATGATGTACACTACTCGACCGCAGGCCTTGAGTCTACAAGCAAAAGAGCGCATGCTGGGAAACTACATTTGTGTTTGTGACAGCATATACAAACAACACTTGCACTTGTAGTAAAGTAACGACGTATTTTAACGTGGTAGCGGAGCTGAGATCCTAAACATAGGGGAGCTCCAGTAACAGCAGTAAGTACTACAACTGCACAGGCAACCACATGCCTAACTACTACGACATGTCAGGAGAACCAGCAGCAGCATCAGCACAACCAACTACAGGAGCAGACAACGGGCCCACAGCAGAGGAGACAATAGGAGCCACAACTACGGGAACAACACAGGAGCAGGAAGACGTCCAAAGGCTACACAAATACAAACTGCCACCACCGTTCTTCACTGGTGACTACTCACAGTACGAAGAGTGGCTGTTCAAACTACAAGCATACCTCGGACTCATCGACCGAGACTTCGACATGGTACTACAACTAGCACAAGCAGCTACAAGACAAATTGAAGATGCAGACATCAGAGCCCACATACGCGACCCTACACAGGCAGCAAAAGCAGTAGACCTCTCACGAGATCTACACTACATCCTCATCAACATCTGCCAAGGTGCAGCAGCTACAGTGGTCAGACAAAACCGCTACAATGCCAATGGATGTGAAACACTACGGCTTTTGCACAACAGGTTCAGCCTACCAGTAGGAACACGCAGTGTTGGCTACCTCACCAAACTACTGGAACCTACATTCAATGAAGCACAATTTGAAGAACAATTCCTACAGTGGGAGTATGATATCAACCGCTACGAGAAAGACAACGGCACAGCACTACCAGATGGAGTGAAGATTGCAATGCTACTCAACAAGACCAAAGGAGCACTTCAACAACATCTCCAACTACGTGCCGGACAGATCACGAACTACAACGAGATCAGAGTTGTGATCCTGGACTACTACAAAACCATCTCTGCATTCTCAAGAGCGAGCTCAGCGGTTGGCACAAACTACAATGGGGGAACAGCACCCATGGACGTGGACAACATTGGAGGAGAGGAAGAAACTACAAAGGCAAAAGCAAACATGGAGGCAAAGGATCCTACAAAGGAAACAAAGGAAAAGGCAAGTACAGAAACAAAGGCCACTACAAAGGATTCGACAAAGGCAGCAAAGGAAACTACAACAAAGGAGGATACAACAAGAGCAAAGGAAAAGGCTACTCAGGATCCAAAGGATATGGATCAAGCAAAGGCTACAAAGGCCAAGGAAACTACAGCAAATCAAAAGGAAAAGGAAACAACAACTACACAACATGCCATCGATGTGGCAAGCCTGGCCACTGGGCACAAGACTGCAGAGTGCCAGTATGGCACATAGGAGAAGGAGAAGAACTACATCCACTAGAACAAGAACAAGCAGATCATGACAACAATGAAGAACTACCTCAGGATGTGAACGACACTTGGGACTGGTACTACGAAGGAGAAGAAGGACAACACGAGGTGAACTACATGGAGGAGAACTGGAACGACTACGACTATGACAACAGCTGGGATTGGAATGACAACAGCTATGATGACACGGCAAACTACATTGGAGGCATCAACGAATCACACCTCACCATTGGACACATCAGACAAGCAAACTCCCGACTACACAAGCACAAATCCAAATCACTACTTGGCAAGAGAACAACACACACAACATCATGGAACGACCACAGCAAGAGCTTTCAACAATTCCTACAAGAAGACAACACACAGCCACACTTTGACATAGCAGCAGCAAGACAACAACAAAGGAACAAGAAGATTGAGGACACTATCACACACTACATCATGTACTCCAACTTCAAGTCATACCACCACCTGTTGATCGACTCAGGAGCATCTACACATGTTTGCCCGAAGGACTACGCACCAGACCTACCGCTACGACCTTGTGGAGAATCGGTTCCACAACTCTACACGGTTACAAACAAGAAGATTCCTGTCTACGGCATCAAGTACGTTCCCTACAAGCAGGACAACTTCAGGATCATGATACCCTACTACGTTTGTGATGTGAAGTATCCAATCCTCAGTGCATCAAGACTACTTGATAGAGGATATGGACTTGACTTCACTCCACGACACTGCACCATCACGCATGGACAACAACAAGCACACCTCATAAGACACTCAGGACTTTTCTACCTACGAGCAGAGAAGATCGACATCCCTACAGGATTCGACATCTACCCAATGACTACAGACAATGGAAAATCCATTGCTGTGATTCAACCTACAGAGAAAGCAGTACAACAACAAGAACAAATTGCACCACTCACCCACACAGACCAAGGACTACGACAGATCCTTGGTGGAAACACTGACTACTGGAAACTTGATGGTGACTACGCCATCAGAGTACACAAACGACCACGCAAAGCATTATTCACACCACACAACAGCGGTTGCCCAATACCTGAAGGAGAACTAGATGATTGGCGACTAACCATCATCAACAGACAAGGGCAAGAGCAAGAACAACTACAAGAGAACCCAACACAACTTTCCAAGCAAGAACTACAACGAAGACTAGAAGGTGACAACTGGACTGGAGAAACCAGATTCAGAAGAAAGATAACACCTACACGCAGAGCAACATCAAAGACCACACCAACAAGGCAGAGCTCACAACCACAACGGCTAATGGACACACCACCAACCAGATCAAAGATCCAACTACGAGCACCACAAAAGATATGGAGACCTAAAGCAGCACCTTCTACAAATCTTGACACCACACAACCAAAGGAGACAATCCACAAACCACTCACAGCACAGGAGGACAACCAAGACTACTGGGAAAGACAAGGTGAATACTGGATAACACACCACACAACACTTAGAACAACTCTATTCACTCCAACAGATGGACCAGGACATCCACCAATCAGCAAACTTGAGCCTCACAGAACTACAATCACTCACAACCACTTTGGAGAAGTTTCGCAACGCAAAGATGACTCGACAGTCATAGGCAACGCAGCACTACCATTTCAACGGAAAGGAACAACAAGGTTCACCGTGAAGAAAGACTACGAGTACATCCAGGAGAACCACGATGAGGAACAACAACACGAGCATCATGAAGCACACAGAGCAATAGGACTACGACAACCGCAACAGCCCACTCCACAACAGATAGCAGAACACAACTTGACACACCTACCATACAGAAATTGGTGTCCAATTTGCGTTCAAGGCAAAGGACGCCAGGACACCTACAAGAAACAACAATCACGACAACCCATCATCCAAGTGGATTTTGCCTACATCAAATCACAACAAGATCCGAAGACCATACCAGTCTTAACAGCAGTTGATGTTACTACACAACTGTGCATGGCGGTATTGGTTCCGGACAAACCATCAATGATGGACTACATGATCAACAACCTACAAGCATTCATCTTTGAATGCGGAAGAACACAAGGCATACTACAAAGCGACAACGAAGACACACTCAATGCACTACTAAAAGCAACAGCATCTAAAGTCGGCTCAATGACTGTACGACATTCACCATCCTACAGCAGCAACAGTCAAGGAAGCGTTGAGCGACTACATAGAACACTTCTCGGACAAATCCGCGTCGTCAAAGCTCAGGTTGAAAGCAACTAATTACAGCATGACAATGTCCACAAAGCCCTGTCTACTACCTTGGATAGTACGACACGCAGCATGGACGGTAAATCGCTACGTCATTCACTCAGACGGCTACAAAAGCTTTGAACGCCGCTGGGGAAGAAACTACGAGCGAGCAATCTGCGAATTTGGCGAGACACTACTTTACCTTCCACCACAACACAAGAAACTTCCAAAAGCAGACCTACGGATGCAGAAATGCATCTGGCTCGGAAAAGTTTCCGAAACCGGAGAAAACTACGTCGCAACGGAATCAGGCGTACAAAAGGTACGAACAGTACGGAGACTACAACCGGACTTCAAATACGACCTCGCACTGTTGAACAAAGTTTCCGGCACACCATGGGCACCACGACGGAACACCTACAACCCATCGTTCGCAACACTGTTGGATACGCAACTACAACCGTCAGAGAAAAGAAGGTCCACGCAAGATTTCGGACAACAAACGAACGCTACTGACGACATCGTTGCGGAACCCGCAACAAAACAACAACGCACTACACCACCTCCACGACTTCCGTCAACATCGACGTCAAGTTCACGACCACTACCGGATAGTCCGATGGCTACTTCACCAACCGGACGACAACATCCACCACTACCAGCACCACCTCGACAAGCACTACGACGTTTAACTCCGGAAGAAGTAATGCAACCAACTAAAGCACAGAAGACCTCAAAGGACACTACAATCAGATCAACGGAGCAAGCAACCAAAGAACCACCACCACTACGACAGAAAATCAACGCAGTGACACTTCCCAACGGAAAATCCATCACACCCTACACAAACGACGACACCTCAGAAGACCAACCCATAATCTTCGACAACGAAGGTTACGACGAAACACAACTACTGGAAGGAATGAAACACGAGTCAAACCAAATGAAACTACATGACGTCTACGACGAAGTAGATGCGTCTACCGTCGACGACAACGTCATCAGAGAAGCGATACCTACAAGATGGGTACACAGAAAGAAAGGACCAGGAGTACGAAGCCGAATCGTCGCAAAAGGCTACACAGAGAAGATCGAGGACGAAGACTCCGTCTACGCCTCTACACCAATGTTCACGACACTCCGGACACTTCTCGCACTACAAATGTCACGACCAAACTGGATAGCGCGACTAGGTGACGTCTCTACAGCATTTCTACACGCACCCATCGCAAAAGACCACGACGGTAAACAACGTGACGTCTACCTTTGGCCACCTAAAGAACTTTGTCCACAACAGGACAAAATCTGGCGACTAAAGAAAGCCATGTATGGACTACGCAGTTCACCAAAAGCATGGCAGGACTACCTGGCTGAAGTGTTACAAAAGCTCAGCTTTGTAAGACTAAAGTCAGAACCTAACGTCTACACCAATGCGACTCGCGACTGCTACATCATGGTCTACGTGGATGACCTCTTGGTACTTGGTGACAAGACTGCAGTCGACTCCACCTTCGAGGCCGTCCAGAAGCAGGTCCTACTCAAGCACATCGGCTACCTCGAACCTGGCAAACCACAACAATTTCTTGGAAGAAATATCGACCACTTTGGCAACTACTGCAATCTTGGACTAAAGGACTCCTACATCGACAACATGATCGAGGAGTCTGGAATGAACAACTGCAACTCAGTGAACACTCCAGGAATTGCACATTACAAACCAACAATAGAAGATGAAGCACTACTTGACCACGAACAACACAAAAGGTACAGAAGGATTGTTGGCAAACTTCAATGGTTAGCATACACACGACCAGACATTGCATACTCCACAAAAGAACTAGCACGAGACCTCACAGCACCTACAGAACTTTCACAAAAGAGAGTCAAACATCTACTGCGCTACTTGCACGGCACCAAGCACTACAAATTCACCATAGAACCAACAACAACACTCAGAGCAAACACCAACAACATCCTGGATCTCGACGTTCATGTCGATGCCGACTGGGCAGGATGCCCTACTACCAGGAAATCAACTTCAGGTTTCAACATCATCTTTTTAGGAACAACAGTTGCATTTGGCAGCAGAACACAAGCTACAATAGCACTCAGCTCAGCAGAGTCTGAACTCTACGCCATTTGCACAGGAGTTAATGAGGGGCTACACCTCAGAAACTTCCTACTTGAAACCAACATTTGCAGCAAGCTAAACCTACGCATCCACACAGACTCCACAGCAGGCAAGAGCATTGCTACACGACAAGGCGCCAGCAAACGAGCAAAACAACATCGACCTTAAATTTCTCTACACACAAGACCTCATCAAGCACGACATCATCAGAATCCTCAAAATCAACACACTACACAACAGCTCAGACTTGTTCACAAAATACATCAGCAAGTATAGGCATACGCGTTTAGCACTACGAACAACAACTGTTTCACAACTATTTCACATCAACCACAACAGTTTGTATATGGCCATATGTAACTACCTGCATGTAAGTAATAGTAACAGTAACTACAAGTCACAGTAATTGTAACCACCAGTAATTTGCACTCACACGCTTTGGCGGTTTTGGCGGCTTGGGACAACATTACATGTTGTTTTGTTTTACTACACTCCCGCATGTGTTTTTGTGAGCTACCATTTGGCTCACTACTTTGCCCCGTCTCACTTCGTTTGTTTGATCGCACTACCAGCAATGTCTGGACCCATGGATGTGACTACGACCGCGCCTGAGACTACTGTGCCAGCACAGGAGATTGGCACTACTACACCTGACCGAGTTTCGACACCACCCAACCAACCTTCCACTACAGATGCCAGCAGCATGGTCTCTGTGGCACCTCCGCCACCTGAGGCCTACAATGCCCTCAACTACCACTTCAACCACCAACTACCAACCAATGCACCATTTTACAGGCCCGATGACATCCTGAACCACCTCACTACTGTCGAGTACGACAGTATCCACACTCCGACTGTGGATCAGGGGCGAAACTACGCCGGGGGCTGACCTTGGAGGAGTATCAACTACTCAGCCAACAACAGACTACACCAATGCCAGACCTCGACTACCAACTACCCATCCACAACCTGCCATCAGACCTACGAATGCCCCTCTACGATTCACTACCACTCAGCCTACGCTTTTCAGAAGCGTTCAACTTCTTTTACTACCACTTGACTTCACTACATCTCACCACATCGCACACCAACTCCATGGTCATTGTTCGACTTCATCTCCCTCAAGAAATTTTGCTACACTACATCAGCAGCGGCCACCTCATCAACTTTTCTCGTGACTACTTTTTCATTGGCCAACATCACCTACCCACTCGGCAACTACCTCAACGACTTCACAGGATCAACTACGACATGAACCAGATCACCAATACCTTCAACCTGTCCAACAACTACATCTGGAACTACCACATGCCTCTTCACCTTCCTGAACTACTCAGCTACTACGACCAACCACAACAACTACAGGATCACCACTACAAAGCAATCAACACCATCATGCACAAGAGTTCCACATACTACGGATTCACACTACTCACTGCCACAAATCTTCCCATGCAACACAAACTACTACTACACAAACTCCTCACTATATTTCAACAACCACTTCCACCTCCAGAGATCAACTACACTTGTCTTCGAGGAGGCCCTGACTTCCTTACTACCTTCACCACCAACCACTACGCCAGCCTTGACCACCGCATTGGTCAGCAACAAGGCTACAGAGTCCAGCATTGGACTAAGCACACCTAACTACAGGTGATGCTACATCAGTGAAGCAGCACCACAGCTTCACTACAACTTTGGACCTCCAGGTCCAAACTACATCGGGATGTATCTCATGAACTCCACTCAGTGCCACTACTGAGGCCTGAACAGGAGAGCTACTGAGATCAGCCTGTGCATACTACAGTTTCTTTTGATCTTTGAGAGTCAGTGGACTACAGCCAGCAGAGTTGTAGTTATACTACTTTCGATCCTTTTGCAGTCAAAACTACTTTGAGCCCTTTGCACTTTTTCCCCTTTCTGGATATGGTTGAAAAGACACTACAGGGTCTTTTAACCAAGGGGCCGTGTCAAATATCATGCTGTACTACTTGTCCCTTGTACATGCATGATGTACACTACTCGACCGCAGGCCTTGAGTCTACAAGCAAAAGAGCGCATGCTGGGAAACTACATTTGTGTTTGTGACAGCATAAACAACACTTGCACTTGTAGTAAAGTAACGACGTATTTTAACGAGAGAGAGAGAGAGAGAAAAAAAAAAATGAGGGGGACCTCTTGTTGGTTGGTTTTAAAGGGAGCCAAAAGGAAAACCACCATTTTGGGGGTCCCCTAAACGAGACTCACCCAGAAAGAGAAAGAGAAAACAACAATAAAAATGGGGGTTGCACCTTCGTTGGGTATCTGTCACCGCTTTTTGACATGATTTTGGCTCAATGTTTAAAGGAAATCAACAGGCTTTGACATTGACTCAAAAGGACCACCAATGTCTATAAATCACATTTATGTTTATAAATCATTTTTCAGTGCTTTTGCCTGCAGGCGCACATGCAAAAGCGTTTGGTCAAGCTTCGATTAGGGTGGTGCACTTCCATGTTGGGGGCAGTGATTGCTTCCCGAGCAAGGGAAGTAGCAAGCCAAGTGTTTGCAAGCCAAGCGAGTTGATGAGCGTCTGAGGTAAACGATAGAATATAGGGATTCCTTTCCTCTCGCCTCCGCTCCATCCAATCCATTCCCTTCATCTCTTCTCCTCTCTAACTCCTGGAAGTCGTGAACAGAGGTGAACAGATGACAGAGAGAAGAGAGAAGCCATCTCTTTCCTTTCCTATCGCTTTTGAATGATAGGCTAAAATCCAGACAACACTACACGTTTCCCAAGACACGGGAAAATTGGCTGCCCAGCCCCCCTCCTCGGTTTTTTAGGTGAAACTTGTGTGCGTCCCCATGTCCACCCGAAGCTAACAATAGACGCGACTCGTGTTTGGTCCATGCTCAGGCCTCCTGCAGCAGGTTGCGCGAATTCAGCTGCAGCTTGTACTCCTCGCCTGAGTCAATCAGTCAAACTACCTGTTGACTGGCCAGAACAACTTTCTACTTTAGCCTCGGAAAGATACCTGCCTTGTCAACTTGCAGTTGACAGTTTGCCAACTCAACAGGGACAGGAAATTGAACTTGCCGGTGAACTGTAGGGAATGACCTTCCGTGTGTTGGGAATGAACCGTTTTCGGACTGTGTCAAGAAAACCAGAGGGCCCGGGATGGTTGTTTTCGGGGTCATTCCAACTCAATCTCTGGGAAGCCGGTGGCCATCACCTAAAGCAATGCGGGTGGAGCGGAAGGTGTGTCTTTTTGAGGCTCGGTACCCGTTTTGCCATTGCCTGAGAGGGAAACCAAAAGCAAACCAACCATCTTAGGGGGTCTAAGTGCATTTTTGTTGTTGATACCTGCCCAGAAACAAATTCCCCCGCTATGAACCGGAAAACTGGAGAAAGCTAAGGTTGAACATCCTACTCATCTCGCCGCTGCCTCTCCACTGTGTGCGTCGGTTACTCACGCAAAGGCCTTATAAGCCAACAAAGAAAGGACCACATAAGATTGTCTGTCTTAATAAGGAGTATCCCCTAAACAACTGCTTTCCCAACCGCCGCATGCATGAGTCGCCAAGTGCAGCACCATCTCTGGCGTTAATCTGGAGCACCACCTGGCGGGGTGGCTGGGGGGCGTATGACCACATGGCTGTGAAACTGTTGAGGTCCAACCTGATTACCAAGCAAACAGCAAACTTGATTTTGGACTGAGTGCACTTCCCGCGGGATTTGATACCACTCGTGTCCCCGAATGGTGAAGGGTGTTTAATGGTGAAGGGTGTTTCCCCAAATGTGAAGGATCCTCAATGGCACCCCTAGGGTTGTTTTTGCTGACGACCGCACTTGCGACAGGCATAAGCAACCAATCGACATCCTCGTGAAATTCGTTCTTTTGAGCTCATCGACTACACTGCTATTCCAATTGCGATATCAACTTCATCGCCTACAAGAATGTATTTTCTGCAGTGAGCGAGTCGATAGGTTCACTAGAACACGTCAGTCCTTGTTTTTCAAGCCAATGCATCTTTACAACTCATGAGATGCAAAATCATTGGGCACGATCAGGCGTCTACTTTTGCTGCCGTTTCCCGGCGCGACTTAGAACGCAGCTGCGCTCAGTTTTTTTTTGGTTTGTTTTTTTCCTTTTTTTTTTTTTAAAAAAAAAGAAAAAAATCAAATTATGTAGATGCAAGACAAAACCAACATGTCCGAGTCGCAACAGAGAGTGACTATATTGAAATTTTCGAAATCAATCTAAATCATCTTTCCAATGGCTACGACAAGGCTACGGTATAGAGCCTTGAGATCATAGTTTGATGCCAAAAGTCAAAGAAGTTTATGTCTGTTTGTTCTGTGTTGTTGCAGACCCGTGACCTTCTGGCAATCGCATTTCACACATGTGCCATTGTGGCCCAAGGCCCTTCTCTGTAGTAGAATTGCACTCGCTGCGTTCGCCGGGTATGGGGGGGGGGCGCTTCCCAGATGACGAGTTGCGTCAAGACACGTCAGTGTCCATGTTTGAAGGCTTGCTGCGCTTGATGTCCATGTGCCCTCAAAACAAACCCGCGCGCACGCCGAGTTGCTGGTCCGTGCTAACCACCTTGTAAATTCGCGAGAACCAATGCGAAGTCATGTGATTTGCAGGTCAATTTGCAGGTCATTCCAACACTCAATTTTTCCCCAGTCTGCAAGAATCCCTGCACAAATGGCGGAAGACATACCATACCCTGAAGCTTTCAGGCACGAGCTAAATCAATGGGGTTATAAGAAGGGTCGTGACCTTGTTTTTTTTTTTTGTATTTGGTGTTGTTTGTGTGTTTTCTGTTTTGTGTTTTTGGTGAAGCTAGTTTGCATGGAACTGGAACATACTCCCAGACAATGAAAGAATGCAACGGCTGTACCAAAGAGCAACCGAGGTGAAAAATACCCTTGACGGCAAAGCAGCAGGACACCTTCAGTGTCAGGGGTCATTGATGTTGAAGTTGAGACGCACCCCCTACGGAACCGGACAAGCCGACTTCTCCTTATGGTTTTTGCAGGAACACCAAACAACTAAAACTCAGACGGGCACAATCTGCAGGACTTGAGGATTCTGATGAAGCCAAATTTGCAAAGTGATTACTTTAGTTCACCAATCAGAAATAAGGAACCCCGAACTCACGGGGCTTCATCACCGGTGACCTGACCGTTTTACCCGCAAATGGTCCCGAACAAGCGCGCATACTTGGTCCAGTAAAACTGGCGAATCAGGCCTCGCCGGTGACGCTGTTCTTCGCCTCACAGTCACAGACCACGATATTGCCCACTTCCTCATCCTGGCGATGCTGTCGACACCAGCCCCAAAACTCGACGGCAGACTCGCCAACGCGCCCATGCAGAATCTCTGGCCATTGATAACCCACCTCCTGCTATTGCGGCGCCTGATTGAGGCTGCAAAACAAGAAAGTCCAGTTCCGGTCTACAACTAGTCTACTCTATAATGTCAAAACATGTTGCAGACGACACCAAATAACACAATCCTGTGAACAACACGCAGGCAAACCTCTTAGCTACAATGGCTGATGGTGCAAATTCACCGTTGCTCACTTCTATCTTCCTGGGTCGTCATTGCACCGCGCTTATGGCTTCACCCCAAACCTGAACTCGCAACACCTTGGACAATTGCTTGGATGTGCTGTACATTCCTCAGCTGCTCTTGCACGTGGCTGCTGTCTCCACCCCAGTCTGCACGACCCCAGGTCACAACAGCCGCAGATTCAAGAATGGCAGCAAAAGAACTGTAACATGCTTGGATGCACTGGACGTTCCTCAGCTGCTCTTGCACCTAGCTGCTGTCTCCGCCAAATTCTGGATTACCCCAGGTCACAACAGCCCCAGATTCAAGAATGGCAGCAAAAGAACTGTAACATGCTTGGATGTGCTGGACGTTCCTCTGCTGATCTTGCACCGGGCTGCTGCCTCCGCCATATTCCATATTCTGCATGTTAAACACCCATATTTTCGGGTTTGGGTCAATTGACCAATGAACATGAGACCTTCCAAATCCCCTAGTGGATGGGAACATGTGGTTTGTTTTCAAGTAAAACCAAGCTGATTCATGGCTTTGACACAGAGCCACGTGGTCTGTCCCTGACCCGACTCGACTCACTGGCTGAGTTCGACACATAGCCGCAGTGCTGGTCGAAGGTGGGAACCAAAGACCGCACAATGCTCAAGTACCTGATAGCATTGACAACTGATTTGGTTTGAATGAAAATAGGACTCTCGCTGAAAACAGGAGGGGTAGCTTCTTTGGTTGCCTTGTCAAACAACCCCCACACGGGAACCAACTCTCAAAAATATGCGGCCCCCTTTGTCCTGGGTGACCATGCGGAAAATGGGTCAGCAGACCCGTTTTTCGTGACCAAGGATAAAGAATGGCCCGAAGAGACCAGTTGAAGGCCCCTGAACCAAAGCGTCACCTTCACTGGGTTGCGTTCTGATCCCCTGCTATTCTTTTAACGTTTTGTTTGCTTCCTATTGGGAAACCCATTAGTTGGCAAACAGTTCAAGTCCTAACATCCCTTGGCAAAATGCACCAAGTTCACAACGTCCAGAACTGGGCCGTGCCACTGAGAAGCGGCCAAACGGCTCACTCCTTGGCTGGCACCAACAGGTAGGATGTGCCCGTCCTCAGCCCAGGCACGTCGAAAAAGCAAAAACGAGTAGGGTCCTTTCCGTTCAACCACACCCGGGAGGGCAAAAAATGATAATCAAGTGGTGAATCCCCTACCAGATCAGGTTTACTGAATACTCTGGGTGCTTGCATTTAAGCTTCCTGGCACCCCCCTATGGCTGTTTTTTTTTTTCATTTTATCTTTTATCGGTCAAACTCCCGTATTTGGCCGTATTTGCCCGTATGGCCATGATTTGGGGTCATTTGAAACCCATTTCTGTTCGACATGTTGTTGCAAAAAAGCCGCAACATCCGTATGGCCATTTTTTCGGTCAAAGGCGTATGACCTAAAAAAAACGGCCATATGGGATCCCAGGTTGTCTCAAAGGGGAAACCTCCAAATGGTTGGTTTCATTTAGGTGTCCCATTCAACCCACGAAACGGCGGTTGCCCCGAAACAAGAAACACCTGACTGTCCCCGTTCAACATCACCCCACCCAAAGGAAACTTGCTTTGCATTGGCTCAGAAGGTCCTACTGAAACCTTGTGCGGATCAATGTATCATTCGCCGCATTCTTTGTTCTTTTTTGGGATATCTTCAATAGGTGTTCCTTCTGTTCCGTTTAAAACCACCTCAAAAGCGGGGCCAACTCAAGACAAGGAGCCGGACCCAGTGTGTCAAACCAATGCCCCCTGTGGTTGGCTTCTTGTTGATTCCCTTTGTTCTCATGTTGACTACGTTTCAACATCCCGAAAAGGGACCAACCCATGTCGCACGTCGCCACTTGGGTTTGTGTCAATATAGGGGATCCACCCAAATGGCACACACACACACTTGGGCATTTTCCGAACAAGTATTGTTTGGTTCTGCACCAACGGCAAGGGCTTCTGTTGGTTCTCCCGTCGAAAAGGAAGGCCGGCGTTCTCAAACCCAATTTCGGCTTCAAACAATGTGCGTTTCCCAAGTTCCAGAAAACATGAAACAATACACGCCTTTCGGGTTCTAGTCTAGGCTGTGTTTAGCTTGCTTTGTTGGCTTATGTTTGTTTGCCTTCTTGAAGAACAGTCATCATCTGATTCGTGTCCTGCTGAGGAGATAATGTTTGCTTTATTCCAAATAAACCCTAGTAGAATCAATATGTTGGTGGTAAGATTAAGATAAGTTTCAATCATACCTAAAGAAGCACGTATATTACAACTAGCTATCTCTGAAAGCCCACGGTCACACTACACATGATAAACAAGATGCTATGCTACTGAGGGAGAGAGGCCTTAAAAAAACATTTGTTTCACAATCATGTTGTTGTGCAAACACAACCACTCCATTCCAGTTTCTCAAAAGGTCTCAAAAAGACGGACCCCTTTGCATGGTTTGAAATGCGAAACAAAAGGAAACACGCCATTGTATGGTCCCCTATTTTGAAAAACCCCAAAATTGAAAAACTATTGATATCCTCTTGGTGGCGCCTACTTTTGGGGACTCACGTTCTTACTGTTTTTCCATATAAACGGCGGGTTTCCATATACACAGGGGGGTTCCATACCCTCAAAACAGCCTCAAAAGTATACACGCCCATTCTCTGCCGAGCATCTCGATCATTGCCATAACAGGTCGCGGAGGCAAATCGTTCACTTTGCCAGTGGCCTCATGATGTGAGCCACGGGATGCTTTGTTGTTTTCATCATGTCCCCAACTGACGCTGTGGGGTTGTGGGAGACTCTAAAGCCAACATAAGTCATAATCATAAGACAATGCGTGTAACTAGTTTGCAATTCATAGTAATTAAGAAATCCCTCTTTGGTTCAGGCTACCTCCGTTTGGAGGCTCCTCCTGTCTTGGCAAAAGGGAGGTCAATTGGAGCTTCAGCGTTTTACTGGTGGTTGGCTGGAGATTAACCACCTAGCAATTCATCCCGGACCATTTCCAAGAGAGGGGCTTCTTGTTTTAGTTCTTGAAAGAGTCCATGCCATCTGCAGAAAGGGCACGACTGTTCAAGTGGGTCACAAGTATTGACTTCCCTCCACAAGCTGGAAAAGCAACAACAAGTCCTGAAAGTGTACAGACATGGCTGCCCCGTATGTCCAGATTGGATAAAAATGGGGACCTGCACAAAAACAAGCAGTGCATTAATTTGGAGGACACCATCAGAAGCCTATTCTACCAAAACCCACCGGTCCAAAACTTCAGAAACATGACCTAGCATGACAGGTTTCACAACTATAGGTGAGAATGCCTTGGATGAACAATAAAACGGAAGAACCGTAATCTTCCCAGTGGCCAGCGCGTACTCTCGCAGAGCACACAATCACTCAGCAAAGATTGTCTGCGCAAAGCTCAGGCCCCGCAAAGAATCAATGGGCAGTTCAAAGTAGATGGTACTTAAAAAGGGGGCCCTGGCGCCCTGTAGTTGGTTGTGGTTCACACCCTTGGCAAACAAGCCAAGCAACCTGTCCCTGGGTTTCCGTTTGCTTGGCTGTGAGTCAAATAGGGAGTCTGGACAAATTGAACACTTACCCATCCCCTTTGGGCTTCCTTTTGGAAACCCCGTGCGGCCCCCCGACCAGAATAGCCAGAACACAAACTCATCAGACAACTGAACGCCACAGGAGGTCTGTCTTGCTCCGCCACACCCCGAACACGGCTGTTGAACTAAACAACAACCAACACGCCCGAGTCAACAAATAGCGGAAAACGAACAGAACCAGCACATCACACGGGAGGCACAGCTGCTCACCACCACAACACATTGCAAATCATGATCTTCCCCCCCGACCCCGCAAAAAAAGCAGAAACACGAAACAGAACCAAACAACGCCAACAGCTCAAAGCCATAGGTTTCTTGTTTGGGTTGGTTGAAAATCGATGGCGATTCCCGGCTTACCTGGTGGCTTGATCCTCCAGGGCCATTTGTTTCCGGCGGTTCGTAGGCTCCCCGACGAGGAAGCTCCAGCCTCCCTTGGCCGAGCCAGCACCTCGGCCGGGTAAGGGTGAGTATTCCTTCATTGGTACCAGTAGTTGGGAGATATGGACAACCAGCCCTCGCCTCCAAACGACAATCCAAAAAAATCAATTGGAGAGAAGCTGAATCACCTTACCTGCTTTTAGATTGGTGGTGTGGAGGTTGGTTCGCTGGCTTCAAAAGGACTGGGGGCCATATGAGGGCCCAAAAAATGATTACCCTGCAAGTTAATGGACAAAATCAGAGGCTAAATAAGTTATTATTCCGGTAAGGGTACTATTATTATGTAGATCTCTAGTTTACTCCTATAATCACCAAGGGGCCCTGGAAAGCCGTATCGCCGTTTTTTTGGACGGAACCCGTATTTGGATCATTTTTCCCGTATGGTCATTTTTTGCTGGCCAATGGCCATATTTGGAAGTATGCAACCCGTATTTGTTCAACAAATTGTTGACAAAAAGACGTAAATAACCGTATGGTCATTTTTTGTGGCTCAAGCCGTATGGACAGAAAAAAAACGTCACATATGGGTTCCCAGGGCCACATATGATTGAATCCTGTGGACCAGTTGGGATGAAGAAAACCAAATTTGAATGCTGGGATAGACCATCCAACAGTGGCGCGCGGCACCCCAAGTCTTGAGCGAGTAACCACAGCACACCAACATCCTTTTATGAGCAAACCCTTTTAACTTGGACCAACACGCATGTCCCCATGGAAAACATCATGACAATCGCCCAAAACGCTCAAAAAGGTTCAACCAATCAGGAGTGGCCGGTACGCGTGAATGGAGGTTGGAAGGCTTCAAAACATCAATGTTCTCTTGTTTGAGTGAAAACCATATCCTTCCATCCCCTGTAATGTGAGCGAAGGCCGTGCTTTTGTGTTGATGCCCTGATAACAAAGAGCAACCAAACCAAGCAAGAAAAAAAGGAACAAGCCAAGAACGGCGAAGAAATGAGGCCATGGTTGGCTAGCGAAGAAGATGTTACCGGGCGAATGGATCTAATAAATCAGGGGCTATCATCATCCGATGATCAAAGGTTTCAGGGTATGAAAAAAGAAGGCCGCTTTTCATCTCGACTGTAATATCCCATCAAGTCAAGAATACCAAGTCTCCAATCACCAAACTGTTTTGATTGTCAGCTTCATGTGAACCACGGGCAGTCCTTTGGACCTCACGCAAACACAATCTTCCAAAGCCGAGAGCACATCCCCTCCGGACCTCCAGGACTGATTTGGGCAGCACACAACATCTCTCGACGTTTGGTTCTACTCAAAGGTACTGGCTGAAAATCCTGAAAGAACTTTCTGAAATGGCGCAAAAGGGTGTTGGGTTTCTGCAACCGAACAGCTTCCCCCCCAAATGTGGGCCCCCCATGTCACCCCGAAGAAAGAGCAGACTACCAATAAGTTTATCAGTTGCTCACTGAGTATTTAAACAGTGGTCCCCCAAATTGGCGTGTTTGCTTGAAGGGCTCCTTACTTTAAGAGAAGGCCCAAGTGTGAAATGTGGTTGACCATGTTTTTCTTGGAGTCCACCCAGAAATCAAGGCGGCGGCTGTTCAAGACATCCACCCAGGTGAAGGGCCTGAGGATGGTTGCCCCTCCGTCCGTTGGGCAAAACCAGCGCAAACAACCAATCACTAGCCCCCTCTAAATTTGGCGAACGTTCAACCCTAAACCCGGGATTCTAAGCCCGGGATTTCAACCTTTTCTGCAAGAAGTGCAATGCGGTGAAAGGAATTCAGAGAGGGGTGCCTTTGTATGATGGTACATGCTAACCCAGTAGAAGGGAAGTAAGGGAGGTTGCTTGCACGATAATCCCTTCTTCCTATTAATCAACCTACCCCTAATAATAAAACTCCCCCGAGCCGCGGCAAAGAATCGGCAATACTAAATTTAAATTGGCCAATCATAGGAAACCACCTAACAAGTGGTTGCTAGACGTAGACATGAAGAGGCCCACCTGAATGATGTGCACCAAAAGGGACCCAATAAGCAAACACCCGGCCTGTTAGGCGCGAGATACATTCCCTTAGGCTCCAAATTTCTTCCAAGTGTCCCACCGCCCTTCGGCTGCTCTGTACCCCTCTTGGTTTGGGAATGAAACCAAAGGGAAACCAAAGCTGAGACACGGATGTGGATAACTTTTGCATCAAAATCCACCAGGTTGACTCACCAGGTTTCTGATTTGACAGGGGAGACAAAAGGAAACCAGATTCGATTGCTCTTGGTTTGTCCAACACACACCTTGAAATAGGTGGTTGCTTTCAAGGGGTTGGTGTCATCGTCGGCTGTCTTGGGGTTTCGGACGTTGGTTGATTGTGGGAGCGTTGGAGCGCCCCAGCTTTGAACCGAAAGAGGAAAATTACCGACGTGAATTCGTGACATTGAGCAGCGCCTAAAATCCAATTTGAGTTCAACATGGTTCTACCACTCTGGCTGTACAGGTTTATATAGAGGCCTTCCAATGGGGAAGTTTAGGCGGCACTCAATTTATATAATTGTGCAAACATGTACTAAATATGTGGAGGGTTGAACTCCAGCTTTGATTCACAGCCCACAGCATGCACAGGTGCAATGGACGCTGGCAGAGAGTTGCATGTTTTGTTGCAGTCCACACGTTCTTCCAAAAGCACAACACATGGCTTGCACTTCAGGACGTAGTGGACGAAGCCAAGGAACAGTCTAAGCCAAGAAAGGCGTGGAAAAAAGGTGGGGGAGAACGCCTTGGACAAATTACTTCCCAAACTCGAATGCAAGAAGCCAGTAAAGGACTTTCATCAGTGTTTTCACTCGTTCTACTTCCAGGTGAGCTTGCTAGTCATAAAACTGTCCAAACCCATGGCAAAGGCAACGGCAGTCCCTTTGATGGTTGGCCAGGTAGAAACGAATAGCATCTCCAAGAGAGGCCTACTCTGGTGCACAGAGGAACCTGGCCTGCTAGAGCTTGGTGAAAGACGTACAAATCTCTCTCAGGTGCCATCAGTTGCCAAAGTCGTCTCTTGAAGGAAACAAAACCCCGGATGCCCAGTGACCATGGGGAAAAAAGGGCCTCCTTTCTTGGTTGGTTCACTTTAAGCGAGAACCCGGGAACCCTGCCTAAAACAGGCACAAAGGGCATCACTGGGCGAAACAAAAAGCAGGGACCCGAGGGAAGGGGAGGCAATTTGACACTGGGACCATGTCCGACTCCATTAGTATAGCCTGGGACCCACTTCACTGTGGGTTGATGTCACCTGTCCCACAGAAAACCGTATTTGTTAAGTGAGTCGAACCTCACTTTCAGCAAGATCTGAGTGGTGAAACATTGATCGACCTTGAAAATCCTCCCGACCAACTGGACATGTATCCCGGTACCCCGCAGCCTGGGTGGCAGGATTGTCCCTCTTTGTCAACCAGGTCAAAGCCATCGTTGCGGAAAACAACCATTCTTTGATACCAAAGCGGGCCATGCCGATGACCGCATTGTCACTTGTGAAGAATTCCCTTGTATAATTATGGTTCATTGGAATCGAGAAAGCTTCCCAACGATCGTCAGATCTATTTGACAAGGCCGTTTCATGGATTTCGCCGAGAGCCAGTCCCGTGTATGGATTTCCGGGTCCATGAAAGTGCAACTCTCAAGGTCCGAACATAAATCTAAGGAGCAGAAACACGAACCTGGTGATTAGTAAAATTACGGCCTTGGCTTTGAGATGCATCCACCAGGTTTATTCATCCCGGGTCAACATCAAGCAGGCCCATGGAGACATAACCTGATCAAATACATGCCCACTCACGAGAGACGTGTACATAACAGGTGAACTGGATCAAGCCGATTCTTTCAATCCAGTTCCAGTCCGTCCTAGTCCGCTCTCTCACTCCCTTCAACTTCCAAGTGCCCCACTTCCAGCAGTCCACCCCAGTCCAGCCTAATTTCCCACCTCCAGTCCCATCCAATCCATTCCACCGCGTTCAGTCTCCAGCCAAGCCCACTCAGGGATGTGGGAACCGCCCACTTCTGTGATACCAATGAATGCTCGCCAAATAACTAGTTCTCCATTGAAAGAGCGAAGTTCATTCCGGAGCAGGGCTGGCTTCTGTATTCCGGAGAACTTCAATTCCAGGAAGGTTCATTCTTTGGGGGAGAATCTCTGGTTCATTCCACTGTGAAGGGTGCTGTGTCACAATGGACGCCAACCCCTCATGCCACGCTGAATATATCAAAAGCCCAACCCACGATCCCCTAGAAAAGTTCAACTTTTAGTGAGGTTTTTAGTGGACACTGCTACTAAACTAACTAACAAGATCCAAAAACCTGAGGAACCGGATGCCTCCCGCGGGAACCGCCGTCTTGGTGGTGCCATGGCCCAAGGCAGTGAGGCGGTCTGGGGTCCGTGCCCGATGTACTCCAGGCGCTCCGGGGCCACACCCAGCGCCAGGCGCCCGGCCTGCCCGAAACCCGATGGAAGTGACCTGGTGAGTGTTCAACCCTGGGTTCACATCTTTTCTAAGACGTACCCTCTCTGCCACTAACATAGCACCTGTAGGAGGGTACCTGCAAGATCATTGTCCTCTTGTAGGGGCGCTCTGTCAGGTGCCATGTTAGTGGGAGTGAGGGTAAGATGCTACCAATCTCTTCAAATCCTTTCTACCATCATGTAAGATGTTACGAGTTACGAATCTCGACAAGTCCTTTCTATATTATTACGTTAGTGAACTGCAAAGATGTAACAGTTTATATGTACCAAATTTTTGGTCCAGCAAGGAGCAAAGCGACTCCTCTCTAAAAATATCCGTCTCGCATATTCTGAACCCCGACATCCCATCCACCCCCATTGCCAAGAACTTCGGACCGATGATGAACCAAAAGGTCAACAAAAACTGGCTTGGGGTTGAACAAAAGGGTTCTCCTGAAAGCCTGGTAGTTTTAGGAGTGCTCGTTTGGTTTGAGTGGAATTTGCTGGGCTTTGTGGATCCATCTCGTTTGAAAGCTGGATTTGTGATTTTGATTCCGGTGACCAGAGACAAGAGAACTAATCTACAACTTCGAACCTTGGAAAGTTTGGTTTCAGACAAGTCGGCTACCCTTCTCATTTAGCTTCGTCTTAAACAAGTGACAAAAGTCATGGCTTCGGATGTTGTGTGCTAGGGTAAGGTCAGTTTCTGTTGGGGAAGTCTATTATAATACGCATATTGCTTAGGCTGAGTTTCCTTCGACCTCCAAGTTGAGAGCCAGTTGTTCAGGTGCCACCCCTTGTGCCAAAGCGTGTTCAAACGGTTCCCCTTTAGCCCTTCCCTTGAAAAATCATAGAATGCCAGGAGATCCAAAAAGAGATTCCCCTACAAAAGAGTGCAGAACCGTGGCGAGCTATGGTTTGCGGTCAATTTCTCGGATTCCAGTTTTCATCCCAGTACTAGAACAGGAATGATTCCCTATATTTCCCCTTTTGGAGGGTTCAAACCTCAAGTGTTGGTCAAGTTTTTGGTCGGGAGCCCTGTACAAAACCAGACCCTTGGAATTCCAGGCCTTCTCCTCTAAGTACCGTCCAGTCTGCGGGGCCAGGATGTACCTGCGACGGAGCTGTGGGATGCTTCGCCGGGGCGGTTTTTGTCCGTCTCCAACACGGCTACGAAGTGGGTCAGCAGGATATTCCAACTTGGTGTCACAAGGGACAGCGAACAGCATAACATGGATCCCGTAAAACTCAATGGCATGGTTCCAAACCCCAAGAAACATTGCAGAAACCATGGTTGTCGTATTCGCACGTATCCAATCTGCGCAGATCGTTTTACCTTCGTAGCCAGTTCGTGTCACAAATGAGTAGTCCTAACAATATTAGTGACTCAGTCGGTTACAGCAAAGAGCAACCGGACGCAAAAGTTCGGGATTGAAGAGTTTGGAGCCAAATGTCTCGCCGCGCCCTCAGCCTTTTTGGCCCCTCCACCTCCGGGGGAGGTTGGGTTCCCCCCATTAAACCATGGGACGCTGTGGTTTGGAGACAAGCTCACAAAAGCTCTAAATGGGGGTTATCCAAAATTACTTTGCCTGGGAACCCCCCCAATCGCCGGCCAATCGCGATCCAATCGCGGTCCCACAAATTCCAATCGCGGAGCAATGTTGGGCATCGCTGCTGTTTCTGTTTCACGATTGGCCGTCTTATCTCAAGCGATGGCCTTCCTCCATCCATACCTGCAAACAGGAAGCTCGAGCTCTGGGATGCTTAGCCCACTTAGTAGGTCGTAACCATGGTTAGAAGCGGGACTCGGAGTGTCGGTACACCATGGCTATTATCCACTAACACAATAGGATTTCATGCTTGGACTACCACGGTAGACTTACACAACGGTGCTTCCCTTTGGGGAAATCAACAACCCCTTCGCATCTACTTTGGGTAAGCAAAAAGGGAACCCTGGGCCGAACATTCATGTGAGCAGCTTCCAAAAACCGTTGACTTTTGATCTACCAACATGGATATCAAGATTTGAGCAGGACCTCTATAAAGCTTTTTCAAGCAGGCAGTAGAACCCCCTGCTAAATGACAACTGAATAGTGGTGCTGGGCGCTGTTCAAGCGGGACAAGACCCGTTTCCACCTTCCTCCTCCCAGGGTCACGTGGCCGGACGGCCTTGCGCCACCAGACTTTGATGCAGACTCGGGCCGCCGGTCAGCGGCCGCTTCCGCCCCAGGCCCATGACCCCGTCCTGCAAAGAGAGAAACGGGTCCGTCTCAAGCTGGGTGGTTTTCCTTGCGGCTTTCCTGTAAACTTCCGTCAAGGAAAACCCTGTTGGATTATAACTTTTTAGAACCAGTTGTTTTCGATCGAGAAACGACCCTGTTGAATTCGTGGGCCACTCTTGTGATACATGGGTTGCCCGCGTCTTTGAGCAAAAATTGGGTTCCCCACGTCCTTTGGAAAACCCGTGAGGCACCTGAGAGGCACCCTACTGTGGCGCACCCACGCCTTCGGGTTGGACCCTCTGAATCCGACGCCTTCCATCCCAATGCCCCGGTCCCAAGCTCGTTCACGTCGAGCGGTGAGGTCGCCCTCCTCTGCCAGCAGGAAGGGCTGGTCCCGGATCTGCAGGCAGAGCTGAGACCAAACGTAGTACCCTTGCCACGAACAGGGCACCTGCGGATGGACAAAATCCGCGCACCAGCTAAGTGCTTTGTCCCATGTTAGGGCCATATAAGGCTCCTCCATCACAACTGATGCAGGATTTTGTTCCATCCACCTTGGCACCTGTGGGAACTCTGGAAAATGGGCACCGGATTTCCAACAATCATGAACCGTGACAAAGGGATGGTACAGGCGGCTGTGCAAACCAGTTTGGATTGGAACTCAGGAAACCTGAAATGAGACCCTTGGATGACACCAGAAGCTGCTTAATCTGTCTTCCCTTTGATACCAGTCCGCAATAATTCCTCTAACTCAAGCAGAATTTCCGAGGGACCCTGATCATAAGCTCATGCTATTTCAGGCGAGCTCGCTATGATCAGCGCAGGACAGTCATTCAGAGTGCTCCCCCCCCCCCGCGACTGCATCTTTGTTTACATTCCAATAAGCTTTAAGGCGAGAAGGCACACTTGATCCTTTTCTGAGAGCCACGCTTTCAGGGAATTCGTGAGACAGCTGAAGCCTCCCTAAGGGAACTTCCAATACCACATGCTGTCGAACGGCAGACTGCTCCGCCACTGGAGCGTAATCGGCTTTTGTGTCCCAAGAAAGGGGGCATTGAGCTAATGGCGTTCCTTTCCAGCATCCTCCCTCCAACGCTGCTTTTTGGACAGACTTTCAATTTCGGACAAGTCATTGGGGGATGGGATGCTGGTTTGTTTTCTCTTCAAGTATCGCCAGTTCCAACCATGAACGGCTCGAATTGACTGATTCTCTGAAATAGTGTTTTCGGCTGTTCAGAACGGCAGGTTGGCCACTCCTGAATTGCAAACTGCCAAAGGGTCGAATCCTTCACCAAAGGGAAAGCGGAAAGATCTTGCTTGCCGAAGGCACCCACTGAGGGAGGAGAGAAAAAGAACATGTTTTTCCCCGAAGTTTGCCCACAGGGCCCAACAAAAGGCAATCCACTGCTTCCCAGGGCAACCTCAAACTTCAGTTGCGGGTGTTTCAGGAAATCCCTGCTTAAATGGTCTAGTTGCATAAGTTAATAGTATCCTCCAGAAAACCCCAGTGCACCCTCTTGCAACTCTTGATGGGCTTTACACGATCACGCCATCTAGGAGTCTAGTTGGATCCAAACACCCATTCAGTCTAGTGGAGATTGTCTCATGGGTTCTGCACATCTGGGTCACCGCTCAACAGCTCGGCACAGCTCGTGCCGCGCTCGGCGCGAAACGTCGCTGTGCGAAGTTGCGCTCGAAGCTCGAAGGCGGCCGCTGACCCAAGCCCTCTGTTGGATGGAGCAAATCACTCTGGACAGTTTACAAGAATTCCAAAGCCTAAAATAAGGGATCCCCAAGCAAAGGACCATCATAATGAGCTCAGGTTACCAGGTGAGTCGTCCTGTGTTTCCCACTTGGTGTTGCTTGAATCCCCGAAACCCCTTTACACCTGGAGCACCCTTCGTTACATAAATTTCTGCCCTTAGCCCAAACGTATTGCAAAACCAGGGGTCGTCACCAAAATATGGTAGACGTACACTTTTTCCTGCTTCGAGCGTTTTTCCCAAAACCGGGCTGGTCGGTCCTCCAAGATGATCGGTCGCTGAAAATTCAAAAGGAGCGAGCAGAAATCAAAGTGCAAAACGAGCGCAAATATCCGCAAAACGAGCGCAAATATCCGCAAACGAGTGCAAATTTAAAAAACGTAACACTCCCGCCTTCCTCTGGATGGAAGAAGGGGATGTGGTCGAGCGTTTTTTGGAAGGGCGAGCGTTTTTTTGGGGGTCGAGCAGAAATCGGTAATTCGAGCGTTTTTTTCTCGTACCTAAAAAAAAGGGCACGTTGGGTGCCTCAGGCATGTATTGACACATGCACATTGCAATACATGACACTTTATTCTTATGCATGCATGCATGCACATATTGGGGGGACGCCACCAACACAAGCAAAGACCGGGCTTCCCCAAAGGTCAAACTGGCGCATAGCTTACTGGTCGTTGAAGGAAACGACAGGGGCAGCACGGACGTCGGGTCCATAAATTCAGTGCACTACTTGAGTGCCCAGCAATCATTCACCATCCTCAAATAATCTTTCTATCCACTAGAAAATATCTCATTGATTGAAGCTTGACGAAACACGACCCCTGTTTCTGACCCTTGTCGGAGGCCATGATTCCCGAGCCAAGTCAGAAACTCCCTCCTGCCCTGACCATCAGTTCTCGCGAGGGTCAGCTAGTCGGCCAGCAGTCTTTGACGCATGAATTCACGTTCAGCGCAATCCTTAGGATTCAAGCGTGCATCGTGCATACAGCCAGGTTGCAAAATTGGTCAAAACGACCATACTTGATTGGGACCCAGAACCAAAACGCAAGGAAGATTTGGTGCTTTCGATATGTTCTGCTAGGTGGCCCAACCCTCCCTGCCGCTCTGATCTAATAATTCACTTTATCTGAAACAGGGAGCGTACATCATGCAGTTTTTTGCTCACCAACACCTCTGCCAGGCCCACACCGTTTCTTCAAGTTGGCCCAACCCTACAGCCTGGTTTGGCACACAAAGTGCCTCGGTCTGAGACCCGCTTGCCTTGATTCGGGCAGGCGATCCATTCGGCCTCACATCTTGCATCTTCTCCGGGCGTCTCAAGGAAGCAAGCCGTGTCGCTAACGGTTTGAAGAGACCTGCCTGTTTGTCTGTTTGCACCGCTTCCTTTGAGATCCATGCGCGCCGAATTCAGCAATGGGCACAGTCAGGAGATATTAGGACCTCCTTCGACCCGTACGACTTGGCCCAACTCGGACTGACTCCGTGCGAAAGGGGATTACAATCCGCAGTGCCGCAGACGGCCGGCGCAAAATATCCGAACCGCCTCGTTCAAAACTGCTCTGATGACGTAGCATCACGGCTGCGTGACCAGCGGGTGAGCTTTGACAGCTGTTCGCTGCAAGCTCTGCCGCAGTGGCCGGCAAGCCAACAAATCCACCAGGCGTTCTGTTTTGCACCATGCGTGCTATGGCAACGTAGGCAATTCAAACCACCGCAACTTGGCAAGCCACAGGCCCGAAGATCACTGTTCCCTACTTGCAAAGTTCAGGCACTCAAGTGAGCAACGGACTTCTACAAGCCAATAAGCCCCTTTTCTCTGGCAAATAAGGGCGGATTGGATCATGCCTTACTCAAATGAACCAAGACTGGCCATTGCTCACAGATTCGCGCATTTGCCTGAAGAGGTGTCGATTGGATCACTTCAGGCGCTTGAACTTTGTGGCTTTCCGGACGGACTTCTGCAGGGACTTGTTCTGCTGCCTCAGCCTTGGCAGCAGAAGGTCAGCTTCCCGCTAATTGGGTGGTTTCGAGGTAAGGGGGGCGGACTCCCAATTATCCTCTACAAGAACCAGGGGTTTGAAATTCCCAAACCCCCAATCCGAACCACTAAGCAAGGGTTGCCCGTGTCTTTGTTTGAGGGTATCTAAGAGCCCAATAATTAGAACGGGCCGTGATAAGAGATGTGGATAATTAGAACAGGCAGAAACCAAAGAAAACCTGGGCCACCCTTGTTTGGGGGAAGGTTTAAGATACGGTCCGATGTTTTGAGTCAGAAATAGGGCTTGAATGATCACACTGGGGTTGTAGAATACCTGGAAGATAAATTACCTCATGTTGTTCGCAAATTCGCCCCGTTTCTGTGTTCTGTATTCAATAAACTGAAAACAGGGCTCCCTGAAAGAAACCATCGAGGTGACTTTCCCTGTCACCGAATAGCCCGAAACGACTCCAGTGGATGGCCCGTGGCACAGCCCTCGGAAAACGCACCCCCCAATCGGCACACTTAGTGAGGGGAATTTATTTACGGGGTGCATGGAATTCCCATGTACGGCAACAAGTATGGGGAAGGGCCCCTTTATTGGAGCTGTGTCCTGCACATTACTTTGGGGGTGGGGATGGCACATATCTGAAGGCAGGCGGCACTTCTTCGGTATCCTTGCGGAGCATGCGTCTGAATTGGAGCAAGTCCTGCAGCAGTTCCAGTCACTTGCAGATCTTTCTGGCAATCCGCAAGCGACGGATCTTGGTCAGACAATCGGCAAGATGGCTCGGGCAAGCCCAGTGAACCGAGACCACAACGTTTTGCCAGGGTTCTTGGCCATTGCTTGAATCAATCACGAGCTTGGCCGAAATATGAGAGCGGTCAAACACTAGAGCTCACACATTCCATGGGGTCATGGTTCCCTTGCAAGGAACAATATGAACAATGATGGTTGTGGAACAGCCCCTGCTAAGAGGCTAATGGCCAACACCCCAAATGATGGGGTGTCTTGACCATGGCATGTCATGTCATCTCTGAGGCGACTCTGAGGGCATCATGCATCCGGCAGCTCTGCAGAGAAATTCAGAGCCCTTTATAGCAATAGGCTGACCGCGATAGTGAAGTCTAGCCTGGTGAATCTGGACTTCCCTGTGCTGTGGGTCCTCAGACCCTGGATTCAAAATTGTAGGCGGGTACGCCGGCTCTTCAAGTGTGCCTAAGTGCACTTCCCCTTTTGTATTTTAGTCTAGTGTTTGAGTTTAAAGCCAAATCTGGGCGTTTGCAAGCTTGCGGTAAGGCACGCGTCCGGTCCTTGATGGTGACCTGATTCGTTCGCCGGAAGGCCTGAATCTGAGACACGAACTCATCGATGTCCAACCGCCTCAGAGACGCGCCTCTCGTGGAAGCTCACAGCAAAACAGGCCCCTTGATTCAAGCCAATTGGGCCAAGTGAGCAATGGTCAAGCTTTGTCTCAACGCCCCCAAATTCGACTGGACACTTGGTGAGCGCTTGAATACAGACTTTGAGTTGACAAAATGAGTCCCCCGTTAGCAAAACATATACAAGTAACTGTCCATGCCTCCATATTTGTACGCATGCATGCATGTTCACGTATCAAGGTGTTTGTTTCAACGCACAGCACAACTTGCAAGCCGAGTAAGAATCCAAAGCGTGGGTATGTTTGCAGCCCCTCCGAAGCTGGGTCCAACTTGTTTCGGTTTGACACCCCAATGCAGGGTCTGAAGGGCTGGGGCAAAATCAGGGGCAATGGGTGCAAGAGAGACTCATCTTCTCATGGTAGGGGCATTTCTCCGTTTAGTTGTCCAGGTGAGCCACCTTCTTCAGTCATGAGTCATGGGGAAGATATGGGAACATCGGGCCACCCTTACTTTTGGTAGTTGATGATGAAGGGATCTCCGTTCAAAATCAACTGCCAGAAAAAAGAAAGAAAGAACAAAAACAACAACGCCCTTTTCGCAAAGGCCACCCCTCCAAAAAAAGAACAAAAAAAACGGAAACCTACTGGTGTCGGTCTCCCATTTGACTGACGAGAAGAAGGCCTTCACTGCAGCCAAAGGTACTCTTGACCATTGAAGATCAGGTCCTCAGAGCCGACTGTCGCTGTTCGCAGCAGTTTCCACGGAGCCCAAAGGTTTCAACCAATACTTTGCTTTTAGTTTGGGATCTACCCCCCAGCCTTGTTGAAGCTGACTCCCCAGAGTTATCTCACGCAAGTCTTCCTTGCATGTCCCCTTTAAATCCTTAAAGGCAAACTCGACCCACAGCCTATATTTCCACCCAAGGGAAATTTGGGGCTTCTTGGCTTGTGGACTGTCAGGGCCTGCACAAAAAAGGCATAACCATAAAGCCTATCCAGGGATTGTGCAAGGTTCCGGGGCTGAAAAAGCAAGGCCTAAACGCCTTTGATGTTGGTAGCATAACAAGTCAATGCGTTGCGGCACTGCGCAAAATGCAGAAAACAACCAGTTTGTCATGAGCCATCGAGCAGTTTCGCACATACCCCGCATACCCACAAACCCCAAACAAGGTAGTAGCACCTACATGGTCAACTCCTGGGTTTGTGACATCTGTACAGGGATCCTTCTCTTCAAAACCATGTGCCAAGTTTCTGGTCAAATTGAGGGTTTCCGCGCAAAACACATGTCAGACTTCGACCGCACAACCTGTTTCGTGTGGTTCCTAACGAGAACGGTGAGGGATCGCTTCCTCTCGGCCCTAGGCCACTCCATGGGATCGCTTCTGAGCCCGGCACCGCCTCTTGGATCAACGCCGCCACGTCGATGTCCGCCTCTTGCAGGGCCTTCCTCAGGCTTTCAGACGGGCGAACCAAATAAACGCAAGGCGACCCCTGGGATGGGTCCTCCCTGTAGGAAGGCTTTTCTGGAGTTCCGAAAAACAAATTCTCGGCATGTGTGGTCATTACAGGGAAAATGCCTGTTCAAAGAAAAACAGTTGCAGAACATTGGGCAAATATTGTAAAAGCTATTAAACGCCTCCAAGAGTGCTGTTGCGCCCCGTAACTCCAACATGTCTTTCTTCAAATCGATGCTTTTTCGCCGCAACCAGGAAACTCGCCTTTTTCTGGAGATCGCACCAGCCACCCAAATGCTACAGGGGCTCTGCTTGCCCTTTTTCGAGTGTTGCGCCGTGGTAAAGTTTTGGCGCTTCGATAGGTCTAGGGATAGCCTGAGGCTCGATCCGACCCTTGGCTCATTTGCAAGGACCTGGAAATGGAAGGCTAAGCCCAACCCGTTGGATCTTGCTTAGTTGTGGTTTGTTTATTTTGGTTTATGTAGAGGTGACGTCCGGACAAGAGGACAAAAGCACCTGCACATGGTTGAGCTTTGGGTACCTGTAAAAGATTGTACACGTAGGCCGACAAGAAGAAACCGCACATAGATGTCAAAAGGCCGACATTGGACAACCATTTGACGGGGTCATATTAGCTTTGACGTGTTCACAGCTTTTCAAACCTGATTCCAAGTGAGGCCGATTCGCTGCAACCCCCAGTTAACCCTGCAGCTAAACCCTGTAAACCTTATCGCTATACGATTTACTGACCATTTAGCTACCTCCCCGATTACCCAAGTGGCAAGTTGTGGCCACAAGCAGTCTATCTGCTGTAGCAATACTTCTTGGTGAAATATGGAGGATTGGCCGCGATATGTTTCAACCGGTCCCCAAAGTCAGCATGGCAACCTAGACACCCGTATTGGTTCAACAGGACACACCCCTTAAGCTGCTGGGAATCAATCTGGAAGAATCAAAGGTTCCTTGTTTTGCAACGGGGCGTGCACCCCAGGCCAAATCCGTTTCGGGCCCGAAGCGGAAACGTGCTTTGACCCAACCCCCACTGACCCCGTTTCTTGGGTGATTAGTGGAGCCAATGAACAGAACAAAGTATGTGCAGGGTTTGCTTCTTGGACGTTGGAGAATGCTGCAAGCCCCCCCCCCAAACGTATAGAAAGCTTCTTTCAGAGAGCAAAACATGCGTACGCGTACCTATGTATATATATATATGATATATGTATATCACATACTTATGAACCCTCGAAACAGGAAAGGTCAAAAGTAAACCTTGCGCGCTCCCCAAATAAAAGTTCAGTGTCAAAGATCCCAATGGCTATGAAGGAATATGTGCAACTGTGCAACCACCCTCGGCTCTACTGCTCTGTTGACGCCTTTCCGCGGATCATTCTGTTGAGAGAATGGCCGAACACAATTATTATCTTGAATTAGTGGTTTCTCAAAGTACCTATGAATGAACATCATGGGGATCAACACTTATATAAGTCAGGTGTGCACTCGTGCGCAGGTTCTGCAATTCTTCACATTCGCCAAGGCTCACCATCCCGGACTGCTTCACCAGTCGCGAAAACTCCTCTATGTCAACCTCGCGGAAGCCCGAAAAGCGAATGGAGGAGTTGCAAGATTGACTGCGAACACTCAGTTGCCACAGCGTCACGTGAAGCTGGGAATATATGTATATACACTTGGATAGATGCATATCCAGTACACAACTATACGGCGCATGTATACGTATATACATATGCATGTATATTATGCATGCACGTCTGTATATATGTATATATATATTGTATACACAACTCATCTATATGAGTTGCACATGGCAATCCAGCCTCAGCCAATGGTTGAACAATCGTGCCTTCAACATTGTTTCAACACGAGGCAGTTTTGGAAAGGTCCTATGCAGGGCTCCAAAGGGGTGTTCAGTTGCACTTACCTCTTCAGGGATGTAAAACCAAACGTGAAATTCCAGCCACCCCTCTCCCCCAATTGCATTTCCAGAGGCAAACAATCAATATGCATGAGGGACCACATTGGCATGCGCGCCTTCACAAAGCAGGACGCTACCAAATAGCCAACGAATGCCCCTAACTGATGAAGGGGCGACCCGTTTGTGAAATACATTACTTCTGTCCATGTAGGAACCCCTTTTACCCGGGGTATGGGATTCCGACAACGGCTGTGTGTGGCGACGCCACCCATCTAAAGGGCTCCTAAACTTTGACATGACACAATGGGTGATGCGAATACTCGCGCGCGTCCTCGCACGCACGGCAACGCGCAAACTGTTTCTCAAGCAGGCTCTTGACAAAGTCTCCGTGTGGTTTGCGCGAGCCATTCAAGAAGAAATGCCAAGCCTGCGCTCTTGTGCGCAAGTTCCAAAGCGACGCTGCCTTGCTGGGCCAACTCGGACTTGTGCCGCCCTTGCGCATGGCTTGCACAACTCTTGCCGAGCAAGTTTCGCGTTGTTCGGCGTAAAGCGCCTCGAAGCTTTTGTCATCGGTATAACTGCGTCCGAGTGTCAGGTTCCAACATTCAACATTCCGAGCACACAGACTTCTTATTTTGCATGTGTAAGAGTGTAAGCAGGCAGCAACACAACTGATACAGGCATGACCGTGGCCATCCTGCGCACGTGCGCACTTCTTGCAGGCACAGTGTCAATCCTTATTCCACCTTCGTTTGGTACGAGCAGTGCAAACCGGAAGCAGGGCTTGCAAATTTTCATACACGTCCATCTCTCTACACACACACACCACAGATTGGGTTGATCATACCACATCATGTCGGCGGGATCGATGGACTTCCCCATCCTTCCCATCATTGTTGATGTCCATCAGATTGAAGACCTTCACGGTCCTTGGCCCAATAAAGTGAGTGAGTCAGCCACACTGGGCCCTGCGAAATGGTACCTTTTCGGGCTTCTCAAACAAACATTCGGGGGTGGCATTCCTTTAAAGCAGCATTTAGAGTGCGTTCGGAGTGCTTGCTCTTTGCACCTCCTTTTAGCCAAAGCAAAACTCCGACTCCGTTCCGCGGCGGAAGCGACTGACAGAAGGGGTGACTCCAATGGATTCTAAGAAATGCGCTGGATTCTTGACACCTTCTCCACCTTGTCCTGTGCAATCTGAAACCCTTGGATGCAAATTTCTGGGTCCAAAATGTGCAAATGTGAGAAAATATGAAGAAGGATACTTTTGGAGGGACCGAACAAAACGCCACATTGACGATGGGAGGGTTGTCAAAAGCATGGCCTTGGGCTGTGACTTATTTCAGCTTCATCTTGGCCCGCCCACGAGGCTCCCAGCTCGTTTCGCAGTCAAGCCACTGCTCACGAAGGAATGTGGCAGTGATGGAGTCATTCTCCACTTGGGACAGCACCTGCAAGACCTGTCATTCATAGATCCAAGCCATCCTACCACTTCAACCCTGAATTTACTTGATGAGTTGCGCTCGCTCGCTCCTCACTCGCTCTCTCCCTCTCTCTCTCTCTCTCGCTTCTCTCCCTGCCTGTCTCGCTCTCTCTCTCTCTCTCTCTGTCTTTCTCTCGTTCTCTTTGGCGTTTTCTCTCCCTCCCTCTCCAACTCTCTCTAGCTCTATCACAATCATGAAAGTATCATGAAGGTATAAATACCACTTCTCCTTCTCATTACATTGTTGAAAACAGCCGACCAGAACACCCGTCCCTCGGCTTCCCTTCTGGTTTCCGCCAACTGGATCCAAAGCCGCCCGCACGCCTGCACGAGGACGCCCACCAGCATGTTCATCACAGTCAAGGGGGCCCTGAGCGCAATGTGTTGCCTTCCGAGTTCAATTGGCCACAGAGAAAAAGCACATCCTTGAGTAGTTTGGTTGGTTGGTTGATGTTAAGTGAATCCTTCTCAAAATCAAGGAGCTGGGAAATTCGGGCAAGACTGGGAAGAATCCTGCCAGGTGGATCCATTGCCCCCCTCTTTTGGATGGTGACTTTTGTATAAAACGGGAAGCCACAGGAAAGGAAACCCTGGCCCGGCCCCTTTGTGCAGGAAGCACCCATTTACTCGTGTAGGCAACCAACGGAACCCCTTAAACAAGAACGAAGGAAAAAGCTGGTTGCCGCATATGAGGGTAACTGAGATCCGCAGGGCTGGGTTGGCGAAAACTAGGGCAACCAGGCTGGGTGTCGAGCAACTCCCCGAGCAGATCTTGAAGGATATCGGCTTGAGCCATAGATGCCATAGTGGCTTCTTGTGGCAATACGTGCCACATGTGTTATGGCCATGAAATTTAATAGGGAATCAGCTCAAATGCGCCAAAATCGTCCAACAAAGGGTCCCCATCGAAATTCACGCCCCTAATATGGTTTGTTCAGGGTACATCGGGGTACATCGCATTGGACGCGGCATTACCCGCCTCTCGCTCTCTCTTTGTCTCTCTGGTATCTCTCTCTCTCTCTCTCTCTCCCTCACTCTCCATCTCGCTCGCTCGCTCTCTCTCTCTCTCTCTCTGTCTCTCTCTTCCGTCCTCTCTCTCTCTCTCTCTCTCCCTGTCTCTCTCGTTCTCTCTTTATCTTTTTCTTTCTCTCTCTCTCTCTCCTTCGCCTTCTCCTTTTCTTTACCTTTTCTCTCTGTCTTTCTACTGGAAATTAAGAGAGAGAGAGAGAGAGAGAAAGAGAAAGAGAAAGGGGAAACAGAGAGAGAGAGAGAGAGAGAGCGAGAGAGAGAGAGAGAGAGCGAGAAAGAGAGAGAGCGAGAGAGAGAGAGAGAGCGAGAGAGAGAGAGAGAGGCAGAGTGAGAGAGACGGAGAGAGAGAGCGAGAAAGAGAGAGAGAGCGAGAGAGAGAGAGAGAGAGCGAGAGAGAGAGAGAGAGGCAGAGTGAGAGAGACGGAGAGAGAGAGAGAGAGAGAGAGAGCAAGAGAGAGAGAGAGAGCAAGAGAGAGAAAGAAAGAAAGAAAGAAAGAAATAAACAAAGAAAGAAAGAAAGAAAGAAAGAAAGAAAGAAAGAAATAAAGAAAGAAAGAAAGAAAGAAAGAAAGAAAGAAAGAAAGGAAGGAAGAAATAAATAAAGGAAAAATGAAGAAATGAAGATTGAAAGAAAGAAAGGAAGGAAGAAAGAAAGGAAGAAAGAAATAAATAAAGACAAAATGAAGAAATGAAGATTGAAAGAAAGAAAGAAATATAAAAAAAACGAAGAAAGAGAGAGAGAGAGAGAGAAAGAGAAAGAGAAAGAGAAAGAGAAAAAGAAAGATAAAGAGAGAGAGAGAGAGGGGCGGAGGCAGAGGCAGAGGCAAAGGCAGAGAGAGGGAGAGGGTGAGGGAGAGGGAGAGGGAGAGGGAGGGGGAGGGGAGGGTCGGGGGGTACCAAAGGATCACCATTTGGTTGTGTCTTGTTGCGATGTACCCCTTTTGGTGGGACTTAAAGGGAAACCAAAATGAACCCAACCAATTTTGCATCAAACCCGTTTCGGAACCCATCTAAGCCGCTGGCAATAGCAGGAACGACATGAGCAAGCCTCCGAAAATGATACTTTCCTCGGGACATGCATGCGAACAGCTCAAGCATTCTCTTGGTGTCAAACCAAGATGCCTTTCATGATTCTCCATCAAAGTTTTGCTCCCAGGAGCATCTGGCGTACCACTGGAGTCGCAAGGGTATTTTCCATGGCCTGGCAGATTTCCTGCCAAGCGACTGCAAACATCATCTGCGCGAGTGCATGGATCCCGTCGAAGAAGCAGGCGCTGTAGAGGAGCGTGAACATTGATCCCGACAGGGTATTGAAGTATTCCTCAGATGAAAAGGCATGGCCTGACACCTACCTGGACATGGAAGGAGCAGATCTTTTGCGTGACTATAGAAGTATATCTTGGGTTGTCAAAACTTCCAAAAAGGTTGGATATGGGCAAGTGTGATTCGACAGCTCAAAATGCTGACAGCCAAACCACCATCATATGCCCCCTCGTATCCCACGTCCAACACCCCCAAAGGCAATCTCCCCACAAGTCAGAGTCCCGGCAGAAACTGATGTGCCAGTACTAGTCTTACAACAGTGGCTCGATAGTGGCTATTCACTCTGATGCGCCCTAACCACCCTCATCATTGAGGCATCTCCTAAAGGAACACTTTCGTTAAGAAGGGGACTCTCATTGATGATGGCCAGGGTACAAAAACAAGCCATTTGCATCGGTCATAGGTAAAGCATCATGTGTTGGTAGGTTGACGCTGAGCACAAACAGCGGTCAGCATGATTATTTCAATGCCGGCCAACGCAATCTGACATCATGTGCAGCTAAAGTGCTAGCCCCACCGGCGTCTCCTGCCGAGATTGCCCAAGTGTTCGTTTGCCCCTTGCTGCCCGGGGTTGCTTTTCCCGAGCAAAAGGTGAAACCTGTTGCGGGTGCAATGGAAATGTCATTTGTTTCCAAAAGCTCTTAGAGGCTAAGGTGGCACCAACCGCCAGCCATGACACATAGCGACTTGCCGCATGGCACAAAGCAGAGCTTTGGAACCCTGAAAATCAAGCGCGAAGCCCCAAAAGCATCGCCCCATTTGGGTGGTGGCGTAGAAGAATCCGAAATAACGGGCCATCGATTGGTCTGAGGTAGCGCCAATCTGCGGGAGCAAAACTATCAGTCTCAACAGTTGTTGCAGGGGCGGAAGAAAAGCAAGCCAGAGCGCAGAGAAGACGAGCAACCCACAACAGGCTATGTGCGTGGCTTACAGCCTTCTTGCTGTGGACGTACTGTCAGCGAATCTGTGTGCGAATCATTCCCAAAAAAAGGGGGAGCAATTCACACTGGCCCAGGCTCACAACTGGGGATTCCATTCTCGCGCCTTGCACAGGTGCTTGAAGGCGATGCCGTATACCTTGCCGTAGGCCAAACAAAAAGAAATGGCCATGTTAGTGGGGAACCCAAGGGGAAAACGGGTATCACTAGACTAGGATAGCCGCAAAAAAAAACGGGGCTCTTAGAATTAGTTTCTGTCCCCTGGTGCCCTAGGGTGGCTATGAAAAACGGGGAAAATGGGGGGGGGGGGGCAATGGCCTGACAAGGGGATCCGATGTAGAAACGATTTGCACTTGGATGCTCACGCAAAAAAAGGCAAAGAGTTTGCCAGCGTGCGCACATTCCAGAAGGTCAAATGCTTCCGTGATCGGTTCACGTGAAATGCAAAACGCCCCTCACAAAAACTGGATTAGCTGAGCCTACCGACTTGTTTGTTGGCTCGAAAAGGTGTTTCCTATCATAGGATCCACATGTGACCAGGCAGATTTCCCAAGTCTGAATAAAGGGACAAGAAAAAGGCCTACATCATAGTGAGCTCCTCGCCACACAGTTTGCAAATGAATCTCTTCTGAGTGAGTTTGTGGCAATTCAACCTTTACAGCTGACTGCAATCTCTTGGGGGTGAATTGTGGCTATTCGACAATTTGTATGGAGAACCCCCAAGGCCCAAGAAAGGAATCTTGGGTTTTCGGAGTCGCTATGAGTCAACCACCATGGTTGTTTCCCTAAGGGGAGTGATCCAAGCGGGCTGATAAAAAGTGAAGCGCCCGCGTTCTTAAGGGTGCAAGCTCAAGTTATTGCCAACCTTTGGACGGACGCCCCCTAGCCTGTGCTATTCATCGGGGGCAAGCCCTTGAAAGACCAAAGACCACCAAGTGGTAGAACAGGCAGATTCTATGACTGCGGTGACGATTGCTCTGCAGTCCCAAAAAGCGAGAATAAAAGCAAGACAAAACACGCGCCAAGCAAAAGAAACAAGGAACACATATAAACTCCAAAAGACAAATTTGGAAACCACCCATTTGCTTGTTTGCTCGCTGACGTGTGGTAAACTAGCCAATTCCTGCTCCTTTGCTGGTCCCTAAAAGCCAGCAAAGGCGACATCAGCACAGTTCACGACCAGTACCAAACATGACAAAGCACTGGATGGAAACGACAACGCCAACAGCCAAGCTAGGCACTGGCTTCATGAAAGCAAAAACAACGGCGTAGGGTCATCTTTTTGCCAATTCTAGTAGAAGTTTGGTCCACCCGCAAGAGGAATTAGCAAAGCGCTTCTTTCCTATTTTTGCTAATCTAGAGCTGACCACATGCTTACTCACATCCATTTGCACTTTCTTCCGCTAACATGGTCCATGGAAGATCGCCTTCCTCTTGAATGCGCCCCCGTGCCAGGTGCCAGATTCACGGAAGGGCATGGTGGTAAATGTTCCTTGTTACAGAAATGGGCCACCCCCGTGCCTACTTCACCAAGTTGAAGGGGAATTTCTTGGTATCTGACCCTAAATGGGATCTGACAAATGGGTTCCTTTGGGATTCTACATGATTGTCCTTGGTGCAGACCGCTTCGCCCCTTTCTTAGAACTCCTAACCAGCCCAGAGTTCTCTCAAACCCGACTTGCCACGAGAAAGCACCCAGGTTGGACTACCCTTCCTTTTTCTGCTACCCTTTCTGGGTGTGCTTCGGGAAGCGTAGCGCTCGGTGGTTGGGCTCCAAAAAAGCTGTTTGAGATAGACCCCATCCCGGAGGTGTTTCTCTTTCGGGCGGCGTAGATCAGCAGTCCCAGGAGGCACAACGTGAAGAAGACCGAGCCTCGAGTTGGGAGCCAGGCAGGCTGGGCGGCTGTTTCCCATAGGGCAGAACCGGGAGCCCCCCCCCAACCCAGAGAGAAAAGACGTGTGACATGGGGAAGCCGCAAAAAGGCGGAAAAAAGGGGTTGGACCAGTTTGGCTTGTAGGAACCTCTAAAATTGGGAATCCCCTCTTGACACATGGCCCCAAAAGGACAGCCCAACAAAGATAAACCCCTTCCACCGAGACGGGTGCCCATTACCTAATGTTCCCTTGGTCTATTCCTGCCCGGCCATGGTCTATGTGACCATAGGTACTATGCAAAGGGCCCCCAAAAAGGCGACCCTCATGGGTCCACTTCTCCGGACTCCGCGTGTTCTCCGTGGAGTTCGCCAGACTTGCCAAGTCGGGAAGTTGCTGCCCTACATAGCCTTCCACGGACAAACTTGGTCAAATCAAACGACGTGGAGACACACCCAGCCTGTGCACCACACCATAATTGGTGGGAGACACAGAGAGAGAGAGAGAGAAACAGGGGGAGAGCGGGAGGGAATGGGAGACACAGAGAGAGAGAGAGAAGAGAAAGGCGGAGAGAGAGAGAGAGAGAGAGAGAGAGAGAGAGAGAGAGCGAGGGAGGGAGGGAGGGAGGGAGGGAGGGAGGGAGGGAGTGAGAGTGAGTGCATGAGGGAGGAAGGAGAGAGGGAGTGAGTGATAGACAAAGAGCGAGGAAGAAACACCCCCCATCTTGGATGTTATGAATGAGAGTTTTGTGCCCTTTTGATTTGTGTGTTCCCTCACCTGAGGTCTGTTTGGACAAACAACAACTTCCAAGGATAATGTCTCAACCGAACACAACAAGTGATGGTAAAGGTCCCCCACAAGCTTTGAAATGGGGTTCCTGATAAACCTAGGAATTCAGCTGTGCTTTTTGAGGGTATCCTTTTATAGGTTGGCTTTCAAATAAAGGACATAAACAGGAACGCACATCTTGTCTCTTCAGACTTGACTCGCTCACTCGCAGACGCTGGACACTCGCTTGCTTTGCTGGGCTGCGGGATGCCACTCCCAGGCCCTTCACCAGGATGATGATCTCCGGCATGTAGCGCAGCAAACGCACCAGGCGCACCATCCGGAAGAACCTCAGAGCTTGCGTTTTGGATTGGTGGCTTGTGGTGTCCATGTAACTGCAAGAACCAGGGGTTCAACCCCCAAAACCACAAACCCAAACCACAAACTAAGAGGAAACTGATCAGAACTCTGAACATACTCATTTCATAGTTATGTCCAACTTACCACATTGGACGATTTTTGCAAAGTGGATTTATGCAAAACCCTGGGGACTGCTCAGCAAAGCGCAAGATGTTGAATCCACAGCTTTCATCCATTTGACCCCGAACTGTCATGCGCATGGGTAAAAGCGACAAAACACATGTTTGTCCTGATTAACACGCTGCCGTTGTCTTTCATCAAAGGTCATGGAACCTATGGTCACTTTCCAGTTGTTCAGTTCCTTCTTCCAGGTCGTTTTTGTCGTCTCGCGGTCTGGTGCGAGGAGCTTGAAGACTCGCGTCAACCGCAGAAACGCTGGGTTGAAGGTCGAGGGAGTGCCGGACATCGTCGCTAGCTGGATGATGGCCAAAGCCCAGATCTCCTGAGTCAGTTTCGTGTCGTCCAGGCCCCGACAAAACGTTCCGCTGGGAAAAGAAGCAAACCATCGTTGAACATTTCCTCTGTTAGACAGAGCCAAAGAACAAAACAAAACAAAACAAATGGACACAAAGAAACCATGGGGGTTCGCAATACTTCCCTCTTGAGCATCGCCGACCCACCCAATTGCAGGGGAATGGACGTGTCTTCTTTCATCCATTGTTGGTTCCACGATTTTGAGGCATACCCTGTGATAGGCACTAACACACGAAGCCTGTGCGTAAGCAAACTGTCTTGAGAAAACCAACTAAAACCTAGTCATAGCTTTTGCATGAATGGACGCTGACTGGAGACTCTGCATGTTCCTCTTGAAGGGACCTTCTGCCAGCTTCCATGGTGCTGCGTATAGTTCGCCATCACAAAAGCCACAAACTGAGTATAAGGAGGCGAGTAAGAGGGGCCTTCACGCTATCTCGCTCGTTGCACCCTACAAAAGAAACAAAAATGAGGGGGTTGTACATCCCTAACAATGAACTTGGTAATGTTGACGCCGTATTAGTCTGTAACCCCCCCCCCCTTGAAGGTTGGAAGTTTTGGGGGGGCAAGATTTTGGAAGGTGTTTTGCCTTGACCCCCTAAATAATCTGGAATTGAGTTTCCTTTTAATTTAGTATTGCTGGGGCTTCCTTTTGAGATCTGGAATTGAGTTTCCATTTGATTTAGTATTGCTGGGGCTTCCTTTTGAGATTGAGTCACTTTTCCATCAGGGGGAGGGACCGGTCTAATTGGGGGGGGGGGTTGTTTTGGAACCCTTTTTTATTTAGTTTTTTTTTTCCCCTCTCTGAGATATGAATTGTTTAGTATTGGGGGGGTCCACCCGGACCGGACTAATAGGGGGGGGGATTACTAATACACTGTCAACATTACCCAGAAAAGGGTACCCGTTCCCCAAGCAAATATTCCTGTACATAGTGCTTTTTTGTTCCTTCCCTCAATAGTTGGAACCGATCCTTGACTCGAGGACTGTGTGTCACCCCCCCCACAGTGGTTTTCCTTGAGGAACCGCAACTCCATCCAGCCAAGGCACCAAGACCATCAAAAGCACCAGCACCTTGCGCGGTTCATTGGATCATCCCAGTGACCCGCAAGGAAAACTTTAGGGATTGAGGGAATGAATAACCCCAAATCGAATGCGTTGAGGCTTCAAGGGGAGGTTCTGGAACCCTCCCTTGTGGTTTCATTGGGGATCCTCTTCCGCTTCATTCCTAAACCCTAGGTGATTCCCTGAGAACCAGCAAGAAAAGGCTGCAGTTTGTTTGTTTGTTTGTTTTTTTTTGGGGGGGGGGAGAGGAGCATGTTTTGGAAAACAGCAGTGATTTAGGAGGGGGGCTTGTTGGTGGATATCATTTACATGGTGTTGTACGTCCACCAGCCATTTTGGAGGTATTCCCCCATTCCCGTTAAAGCCTACATACTAGCCCCTACCGCGAAAAAGGCTGCCCCCTGCAATAAGAAGGGGAGGGAAACCCAATATGACGAGCTTATCAATTTCGAGGATCCTCTTGGTTCTATCACAGAAAGTGACCTTAAAGCCAACTTGCCACCACAACAAAAAGGGTTCTTTGATTTGATAGAGGTGCAGCGGCATCCCGAGCCCAGCAATGGTTTCGCCCAGCTCACTACAGTAACGCAGATTGCATGCAAAGGCACGAGGTCAACGACCCATTCGACATCTCGAAAGGCCGACATCTTCCTCTGATAGGCTGCGAAGCGAATGACCAGCTCGATGACGAAGAAGACGCAGAACATGTTCTCCTAAGGAGCCAGGTCTGATTTGCTGTAACTTTAACATAGGCTTGCAACCTCACATGCAGCAAGGAAATGAAAAACACGGGTTGGGCATATGCGCCTCTGTCTCAGGTGTGTCTAAAGTTAAGACACGCTGAAGAAATGCCAGGCGGCAATGACAAGGAAAATGATATCAGTCTGGATGAGCACGTCCGAGTCATTCCACGCTGCATCGATTCCAAGCCAGAAGGAATTCAAAGTGATCGCCTTGCCGACACGGCACTGAAATTGAACCGCTGTGGACGCGTTCGCCCTGTTCTTGGGTGTATCAAAAGGAGGCCCGGGCAGAGTGGGAGGCTCAGCTTCTGGCCCCTGCAAATCGGGAATCAACGTTTACTTATTGGAACCCCCATGTTAAGCAGTCTTCCCGAACAACGCAGAAACAGCGTGTGGGTGTTGGGCATGAGTGTTGGGCGATCGTTTAAAGGACACTTAGAAGAAACCACAGGCATGATGCAGGGCCATCAAATCAGTGACACAAACACATAAATTGAATGCTTGGAAGCTGAGAATGGGTTTGGGGGTTGCAAAACGGCTGTCAAAAAAGGAACACCAAAAACAGTCAGGTCCGGTCGATTCGCTTTCCACCGAACCAGGGAACAGTGGAATCCACAGGTCCTGTTGAGCTAGGCGCCAAGTGGAGCGTTGCATCGCAAAACGCAAAACCGCGATGTGCGAAGAGGCAAATACCTCTTACCTTGCTGGTGCTGACTAGTGAATGTGGGAATGAACTCAGGGGTCCCCTTAAAGGAATCCATAGAGGATGGAGCACCAGCAAGTTGCTTCTGTAGGACGAAATGTTCAAACCCGTCACTGTGAGTCTGCCGGTCACCAGATCTCACTGTTGCAACATTGAGGGTCAAGCTAGGCGCCAATATTTGACTTGCCGAGCGGCACACATCACCGTGATGTCGAACCAGGGGTGCCGCGCGATGCGCCTCGGATCCGAAGAAAACAACATGAGGCGTTTCAGACATCAATATCTGATCAAAGAGCGCGCCGTCAGCAAAGCCGTGGGAGGCGAGGCTCCCCCTCCCCCCCCCCTCCCACCCCCCGCTCGTTCTGCGTTATAGCTCTTCCCCCCTCTACCTCGACTCGCTCCATTTAGTTTCCCTGGCCGAGAGGCTGTGCGCAGCCCTCCTTGTGGTATAGGTCCGTGACGCTGGTGGCACTGGCGCGAAACAGGAAGTGTTCGCCTTGGGCCCCCTTTGTAAATGTATTCGCATACGCGCTACCAGTACTCTGAGTACTATTTCTTTTCAGGAAATTCTGGGCTGCAGGTAATCCTCCCCTGATTTTGGGACCTCAATTTACCGTGATCTATCAAAAACCAGCAAGAATGGGCTGTTGACCCTCCTTTTGCAGACCCTTTGTCCCTGCTGGAAGTGGAAAGGGGGGGTTGCCCAAAAGGAAAGTAGTTTTCCACAACCTGCTGTCAGCTTCCATGCTTTTTTGGATCGAGTAGGGAGGCAAAACCCTTTTGTAGTCCTTCTATCTTACTATTATTACACAAAGGGCAGTCAAAGGCAAAACCAAGGCGGAAGTGGGCGTCCCCATGTTAGTACTTCTTTGTACTCACTTGGTAGTCTTTTAGTATCCTACAGGGGTGGATCCACACAAGCCGCATCCAGGTCTTTCTCAAGACACATAGTTTTAGTTTGTGTTTTCCTGAGGAACCCTTGCAATGCTGGACTATATAACATCCCACTTGAGATTTGATACCCATCAAGAAAGCAGGGCATTTGACCATAGTTCGTACTTTTATGTGTACACGAAAAGTCTTTGCAGAAAAGACATCAAAGTGGGTCGGTGCATGCCGGGAGCTCGGCGATTTCCATGGAGCCCCACGATAATCTGCACAAAACCTTCGTGGTGATATGTGTTGTTGTCTTTTGAGGAACCCTTTTTGGATTGGGCAACAAGGACACCAAAAGCAACACCATCCAGTCTGTGGGTCCCTATTTTGAAACAAACCCATATTAGTTTGCTCAACATGGCCAAGAGTGGTGAGCGCTGCTCATTTGCGGTATGGGCAATGCTCGTAATCGTTGTTACCCATTTTGCGTGGTGTTGCGGCCCTGGCTTCCAACGGTGTGTGCCTCCCTTCTCCTCTCACATTCAGACTCGACTTGCAAGAACACGTTATTCATACTGTGTGCACCAAACCCTGCGAATACCGAGATAAACAACCAGCTGGTGCCTTGCGCGGATTTTGTCCAAGGTACTTCACCATAGTCCATGATTGCCTGACAAAGGGTAATGTTTGGCCCCCTGGTTGAAATCAAGCTGAACTTGCGTCCGTTCAACAGGGTGTTTCGCCGTAAAGACTGCCTGATCTTGAGAAGTCCAAGGTCCACCCCCGCTGACCCCCGGAGCCCGGAGGGGGAGACAATTCATACCAACCGGATCGCTCCGAAGGCCTTGAGGCCAGCATGTGCTGCAAGCGCCGCTTCATGTCCAAGACCTAAAAGCAGAGGCGTCGACGAAGGCCTGAGGCCTTGGGTCAAATTGTGTGTCCACTACCCCAAACCACTACCCCTCAAGGCAGGAGCACATACCCAGTGCATACTGGTACAGTGCATAGGCGTCCTTTTGGGAAAATAGACGGCCCTGGTAAATGGAATAAAACCAATAAAACCAGTGCCACCTATGTTCAACCAACTAACCCAACAAGGACACCCATGGTATAGTGGCTGTATATCCCGTTTAACCTCTGGGGGAAGTGGTCTGGGGGTAGTGGAAACTACTTTAGAATGGATAGAGAAGGTGGTTTATCTTGGTTTTCATCAATCCCAACTGGCAGGATGTGCAGGATACATGTCCATCCAGAGGGAATTCCAATAGTTCCCCTTCAGACCCAAAAGAGGGTACCCAGGAATCATCTTGGCGAGTTGGGAATGAACCATTTTTGGGATCCCCAAGGGTTTCACAAGGGAACCAGCAAATTTTGGCTTGTGGCTGAAAGGCATCCCACTGGCTCCCAATGATCCGTTGCCCAAGAATCCAACCAAATATCTGATCCACTGGTGACTTGTTGCATCGGTTTGCAGCCTATTTGCAGAACTTGTCAAGGTCGGCATGTATTCGTTTCTTCGGGAGCAATGGTTCTTCATGGGGAACCCTTTGGCAGTGGTGGACAGAACCCCCCGCCCCCCACGTGGTTGATGGCCACTCACATCATTTTGGCAACAGCCACCTCACAAGGGTTCTTGGGGGCCAGTTCTTACTTCATCTTGATGAACAGGTTTGATCTAGCCAGCATCATACATGTGTTGATTCTCTAGGGGTGTAAACTGTTTTAACGAGTGTTTCATAGGCATAGGGAACATTACCAGGCTCCTTTGTGCACCTCTATGTTCGTGGGAGGAATAGGTCCCAACATTTCACTTGCCGAAAGAACCGCTTGACCTTCTGATATTATATATATATATATATCTTGTTGTCACCTTTGGACTTTCGGCCTACAGCAATCCTTTCCAGTAAAATTCACCGGACCTCCTTTTGTTCAAGCTCGCCGCGGTCTCTCACGCGTCTAGAGAATGTAAGGGGGTCGTGAATAATTTGGGCTGCACCCCCTTCAAGACTGCTATGTGGGAGTGCTGAGCTAAACAAAAACTCAAGGCGTATAATTACGTGCACATGGTGCACGAGCCGCAAAGACATACAATTGCGTACCCTATAGGTTGGCAGAGCCCCTTCAAAGATTCTGCGTACCCCCTTCGAACAATCCAGGAAATCCCTCAAAACTGTTCAAGGAGGGAGGAAAGCCGTATGAGTGCTTTTGGCCCCGTCCATCTCGTGGGTCAAACAATACTCTGCAAATGAACAGAAGCAACCCAAATTTTGAAGACCCCGGCAAAAATGAATGGGTTGCTTGTGTTCCATGTTCGGAGTAAATGAATCACGAAGAGTTACGAAAGTACCAGCCGTCCAAGCCCGATTGTCCAATTTTCGTGGACACTGGCTATGATTTTTAGTTGGGACCCCTTGGTGGACATCATGCGCATCTATGTCCACCAACCATGCTACTATCCAGCTCCTCAATGTCCCTGCGGTTCCAATCACCATGAAAACAATGGGGGTTAATCTAACCGGGTACCCCATTGTTTACCTAAAGAGTTTCATCATCAACCATTGCTGCAATGGGTGCTGAGCCCCATGGATGTCTCTTGCGGATCAGGGCACCCCCGATCTTCGCCTCACTCCGTTTTTCTTCGCCTCGTCTTCGTTCTCCTGAAAGGGAAGCCGTGCCATAAAGCACAGTAGACAACGGCAACCACAAGTCTTTGCCCGACCCCAGGAAACATCAATTGTCGTTTCATATGTAGTCAACCTTTGAAATAAACGAATAATACCAACGGAGACCCGCAAATCGGGGGGATGCCCGTGAAAAGAAATCGTGAAAGGAAACTATCATGGGTAGTCAGGGTGCCAAGCAAATCAGCTTTGGGCGCAAACCAAATTCCTTTGTGAGGTGGCGATTTGACAAGGCAAACCATACTTAGCATCCCGTATTGCAGGAAACAACTACCTGCCGTTTTCTTGTTGCTTTGTTGACATTCTTCAATTGGGGGGTTGTTCAAAATAAAAGTTCCTGGAAACGGCCCTTTCGCCGGCCTTTCGCGGTCCTTTCGCGGCCCCATGTATTCCTTTCGCGGTGACAAACCAGTCCTGAAAAACTTGTTTCCGAGCCCAAACAAGGGTTCTACCATGTGTTCGTTATGTTTCAAGTCCTTTCGCGTTCCTTTCGCCGGCCTTTCGCGATGCAGTGTGTTCCTTTCGCGCTAGACCTTCAGAACCTCCCTTTACTTAATTTTAAGACTGGCAATTTAGAACGACTCCCAATTGGGAAACCTACTCTGCCAAAAGAAAGGATGCCACCGGATAGCTAGGAGCACGTGTCCAAACCAAGAACTTGTTCAAAGGTTGGTTGCCAATCCTTGCTAAGTGCCTCTGGCTTCAAACAACTGTAGTTCTAGACTAGAATGGGCGATTGCCACGTGCGAAGCAAACAAAATTAAGGTACAAAGGATTCCACTGGCAGCACTCGGATGTGTTTTTTGGAGGGTACCCTTTTCGCCTTGGTTTGAAGGGACACCGAGGGAAAAGCGCCATGTTTGGTGTTGCCCTGTTTTGACATAAACCCACTTGTACTCGCTTTGCCATGTTCACCTGTTTGAGGCTCTCTGGAAGAATCTCTCGAATGAGACCCGTTAGCTCCTCCTCCTCGTCCGACGAGTCCTTGGCACACGCAACAAAAGGACACTTCAGCCCACAAACAAAAAAATGCACACGCAAACAGCAAGCACATGCACACAGAGTCAGGGTCCAAATGAGATGCATCAGGCAGACTTGTACCGAGTGATGCCCAGGGGCGCATGGAAAATCGGAAAACCAATCCGTACGGGCCACGTTTTAATTCGTACTGTCCTCTTTTGGTCACCAGAAAGGGTAGCTTGAACAAACACCCACCAGCCAGCAACTGTATCCGAAGCACACAACCCGAACCAAAATATTGAACCCCACACACACAGACACACATGACAGCGTCGCGCGTGTTGCCCCTCAACACCAAGGAAGAAATCACATCAAACTAGTTGGCCTATCCGGGGATTACCTCGTCTTGTCAGAATAGGGCACCCCAACAAATGGGGCGGGGGTCCGTCTGGCGTCCCCTTGTAACCACACAGAAACCCCGCAAAGCGCTTCTTTTGGAGGAACCTCCTTCTTGGGCACTAGACCCCCTTTTTGGGTTCCATTTTACTGTGCGCCCTTTTAGGAAATCCCCAAAACACACCCACGCGTGGATCCGATCTCTTT